TAGTTGCGTAGGTCTGTGTGTGGGTAGAGGAGAGTAGTTGTGTAGGTCTGTGTGTGGGTAGAGGAGAGTAGCTGTGTAGGTCTGTGTGTGGGTAGAGGAGAGTAGTTGTGTAGGTCTGTGTGTGGGTAGAGGAGAGTAGCTGTGTAGGTCTGTGTGTGGGTAGAGTGTGTGTGGGTCTGTGTGTGGGTGGGAGTAGTTGTGTGGGTCTGTGTGTGTGGGTAGAGGGAGTAGCTGTGTGGGTCTGTGTGTGGGTAGAGGAGAGTAGTTGTGTGGGTCTGTGTGTGGGTAGGGAGAGTAGTTGTGTGGGTCTGTGTGTGGGTGGGGAGAGTAGTTGTGTGGGTCTGTGTGTGGGTGGGAGAGTGGTTGTGTGGGTCTGTGTGTGGGTGGGGAGAGTAGTTGTGTAGGTCTGTGTGTGGGTGGGGAGAGTAGCTGTGTAGGTCTGTGTGGGTGGGGAAGAGTAGCTTGTGGAGTGGTGGGTGGTTGTGTGTGGGGGGAGTGGTGGGTGGTTGTGTGTGGGGGGGTGGTGGGTGGTTGTGTGTGGAGTGGTGGGTGGTTGTGTGTGGGAGTGGTGGGTGGTTGTGTGTGGGGGGAGTGGTGGGTGGTTGTGTGGGAGGAGTGGTGGGTGGTTGTGTGGTGTGGGGGAGTGGGGGTGGGTGGTGTGTGGGGGGAGTGGTGGGTGGTTGTGTGGGGGGGTGGTGGGTGGTTGTGTGTCGGTTGAGTGGTGGGTGGTTGTGTGTGTCGGGTGGTTGTGTGTGGGAGGGTGGTTGTGTGTGGTGGGTGGTTGTGTGTGTCAGGTGAGTGGTGGTTGTGTGTGGGGAGTGGTGGGTGGTTGTGTGGGGGGAGTGGTGGGTGGTTGTGTGGGGAGGGTGGGTGGTTGTGTGTGGGAGGAGTGGTTGTGTGTGGGGGAGTGGTGGGTGGTTGTGGGTAATATCATCAGGTCTTCTACATCCCCCTGGTAATCTATACATGTTCGTCTGTTTACTTCCTATAAGTTAATTTTTCGAGAGGTGTCATGAATATTCATAATTTTACGTGTAATAGTTCTGAAAATGGGGCGAGAAATTACTGAAGTTGTGGCTGGTGACGAGCCTAATGGAGTGGGTATACGACTGTCCGTAAGCAGCAAGTGTCTAACATTTGCAGATTTTTTTTTCGTTTACTGTACTGTAGTATAAAACTCATCAGTGTTGTTAATCTTCAACACCACTCTGAAATATATGTAGACAGTGATAAGCGAGTCGTTTCTTTGTATTTTTTGTTCTATTTGAATTTTTGTTTGAAGTAATGCTCAGCCGGTTTTTTTAATGGTCTAGAATATTTGGAACTGTTCAGTACCGTTAAATAATTGCTCTCTGAAACGTGAGTGAATTGGGGAGGAGCTCTTGGTGTGAACGGCAGTGATGCTGGTCCAGTGGACGTCGACTATGATGGTGTTGGTGCTGATTGTGGTCGGGCTGCTGCTGCCCAACACAGCCCAAGAAGTACATCATCACGCCCACAACAACGTGAAAATTGGAAAGGACAGACTTCATTTTTTCAGTCATCTTGTGAGTTCTATTTACCTGATGATAATAATTTATTTTAGCCTTTGTCATCATTAGAATAATAATTTGCCCATTGAGGTTTCTTTACTACTGTATTCATCTCTTCCTCTTGCTAGTATCCGCAAAGAAAATGAGGTAGACGTAGCCGCTTTCATGTACAATATTCACATCTTTATGTTAAGAACAAAATTAAACAAGCTATTTAAACAGGTAGCGCGTCCTCACGTGGCCTTCACCTGAGAACAAGCTTAACAATGCCAGGTCTTACCTAAATGTGTGTTGGTCCCAAAATCATGCAACTGTTTTATTTCAGCTTAAGAATGTGGATAAATATACTAATTAGTGCAGAATATTTTAGTATAACTTAATAATATACGAAATACCAATAAAATAGTTATGATTAAACCGATACATTTCTGCCATAAATTTAATAGTATTAAAATAATTTCAGTGTAGAAGCGGGTGTATATTATTAATAAATAAGAGAAATCAAGATGCAGTAGGGTTATTGTAGAGGGGAAGTAGTGGTTGCGAGTGAAGGTTGGGGTAAGGGCTGGCTGGGAAATGAGTGGTGTGGGTGGAGGCTGGGAGAATGTAGGTTTGGTTACTTGTTGCTAAGTGATGTAGACAGACGTTGAGTAAGTAGCTACAAGGGCTGCGGACGTGGACCTGCACTGGGATATTAAGGGGCGCGTGAGTCTGGGTGAGGAAATGACGCGTTTTAGCGAGGGAGGTGATGAATTGGTGACTTCGGTGGGCGGTGTAGAGTGAGGGTGGGGAGGGCGGCTGGTTGTCAAGGTGCCAGGCTATATCTAGGTCCAGCTGTCATGCCAACTGATAACCTTAGCCTTATCACTTATATATATATATATATATATATATATATATATATATATATATATATATATATATATATAGCTGACCATAGGTGATTATAGGTATAGCTGACCATAGGTGATTATTTGTATAGCTGACCACAGGTGATTGTAGGTATAACTGACCATAGGTGATTATAGGTATAGCTGACCATAGGTGATTATAGGTATAGCTGACCATTGGTGATTATAGGTATAACTGACCATAGGTGATTATAGGTATAACTGACCATAGGTGATTATAGGTATAACTGACCATAGGTGATCATAGGTATAATGACCATAGGTGATTATAGGTATAGCTGACCATAAGCAATTGTAAGGTATAGCTGGCCATAAGTGATTATAGGTATAGCTGACCATAGGTGATTATAGGTATAGCTGACCATAGGTGATTATAGGTATAGCTGACCATAAGCAATTGTAAGGTATAGCTGGCCATAAGTGATTATAGGTATAGCTGACCATAGGTGATTATAGGTATAACTGACCATAGGTGATTATAGGTATAACTGACCATAGGTGATTATAGGTATAGCTGACCATAGGTGATTATAGGTATAACTGACCATAGGTGATTATAGGTATAACTGACCATAGGTGATTATAGGTAAAGCTGACCATAGGTGATTATAAGTATAGCTGACCATAAGCAATTGTAAGGTATAGTTGGCCATAAGTAATTATACTGTAGGTATAGCTGACCATAAGTGATTATAGGTATAGCTGACCATAAGTGATTATAGGTATAGCTGACCATAGGTGATTATGGGTATAGCTGAACATAAGTGATTATAGGTATAGCTGACCATAAGTGATAATAGGTATAGCTGACCATAAGTGATTATAGGTATAGCTGACCATAAGTGATTATAGGTATAGCTGACCATAGGTGATTATAGATTATGACCATAAGTGATTATAGGTATAGCTGACCATAAGTGATTATAGGTATAGCTGACCATAAGTGATTATAGGTATAGCTGACCATAAGTGATTATAGGTATAGCTGACCATAAGTGATTATAGGTATAGCTGACCATAAGTGATTATAGGTATAGCTGACCATAAGTCATTTTAGGTATATTGAACCATAAGTGATTATAGACATAGCAGGCCATAAGTGACAACAGGTGTAGTGGTTGTCTCACATTTAATATACTAAGTGTGTCAGTATAGTTTTATAATTTAATTTTTTGGGAAAACTGTTCATGTTCTATCATTTTATGCAATGGCCTGCTCACTCGACATCAATTCCTTACGTGACTCGTTAAGTAGTGAAGGGAAAAGCTGGAACACAGATATTAGGCATTATTTCGTAATAAGAGTCAGACCCATGTACAATATTAGGAAGGTTTAAACTTTGTGTTCTTTACTGTACTGCACATATTTCTCAATAAGTAAAAAGTTGTATTATACAGTACAGGTATTAAGTTAAAGGTGGGGTTATGCAGCTGAATAGATAGTGCTCATTTCCTGTCTAAGGGTAAGAACACAAAGAAAGCATGTTAACTGCTTGCGGATTACTGGCGCTGAATGCGAACGTGCTAACAAGCGTGGCAGCACACAGTAGAAGCATGTTGAAGCCTGTTGGCTCTGGTTGCCTGTGCTGACAAGTTTACAGGAAAGAACAAAACATTAATTTCTCGCCTGCCCACACGGGACGACTTGTTGCTGAGGCAGTGTGAGGTGTGCCAGTTACCCCATGTTTTCGTCAAACGATGTTTAACCTTCTTCAAAATGTAGTCGAAAGCTTCCCAAGTCATTCTCATGTACCTGTACAGGTGTATTGAAAAAACCTCCTTGGGTCCCTTTTTAGCTCACTAAAAAGATGGTGATAGTCACCGTAATTTTCTCTACTGTGTCGATTTCATGTATTCCAGTTCTTTTTCTTCTGATTTTTGAAAAAACACTATTGGGCAAAAGAAAATCTTCAGATGACAGTAGTCATCTTTACTGTATGACAACTGGACCACAACTCGCAGATAAACCTGTGTTTTGTGTCCGCCTACCAGCGCTGACTGCCAGTGCTGGTAGGAGTTGGAAACAAACAAGCAGATAACCTACTTCCTTTGTGTACTTAACCCGAAGGATTGCTGGCTGCACTTGGGACACTGCCAGTCTGCCCATCTGTGAATGAGTTAGGGAAGTTAAGATGGTCAAGTGCAATACCAGCTTTACTACCTCCATATGTACTAAAACTTGATATTCAATGTGCTGGGACCCACTTATCACATTAAGGGTGGTTCCTATTGTACAGTCTCACCCAAGTTTGTTAACTCTTCCAGCCAGCTATTGCTGCACTGCCTGCTTCAGAAGTATGAACTTGAGTCTGTTACTTCAAAACTTTTCGATTCATTCATACCGGTTTCATGCTCAGGTTGGTACTGAGACAGTTTCAAACATCTGAAGAGCAGTGCAGCAATAGCTGGCTGGAAAGTTAACAAACAATTTCTGTACTATGTGGAAATCCATGGAAATCTTTAATTATTTTTATTACCTGTGCCGTACTTCATTAACTAGTTAGAATTATTTTCATGGATTATGTATCAGTATTTAATGGTTGACATTATTTTTACAGCATGTAACTGCAATGGATACTCCAACCGTTGTTACTTTGACCAAGAGCTTTATGACAAGACTGGGCATGGTGGACATTGCCTCGACTGTGCTGCCAGCCGTGCTGGACCCAACTGTGAGCGATGCAGGGATAATTATTATGACCGTGAGGATGGTGCTTGCATTGCTTGTAATTGTAATGATATTGGTAAGTTATTAACAGTATGTTGTTAATGATGATAAATTATTTATACTGTACTGTTTTGGTGCTCAAGATATTATAGAGGGTCATAAGAAGGCAATACAGTGGTCCCTCAGTTAACAAACCTAATTCGTTCCACAGATTCGTTTGATGACAGAAAATTTCGTGAACCAAATCTATTATTTCAATGGGATATTGGGTAATTGGTTTCAACTCAAAGAAAAAGTATATACAAAGTACTGTATACCAGTAAAAGAATTAACAAAACATTAAATGTAAACTAAATACAGTACTATACTGCACAGTATACTGTACAATAATAAATATAAAACAATAGAATAAGTACTGTATTTTAACTTACTTTAAGGTGTGTATGTTGTATTACCGGCAGCTTTGTTTGCATATCAAACAGCTGATTATAGAGGCAGTCAATGATGACATGCCATATTCTTTAAAGTGCATTGGTTCTAATGTCTTCTTCATGTTTCATATTAATTTCTGCACTGTATGTTATCAATATGTTAAGTAAATTTCATAATAACCAATAATTTTAATGTAAAAATGCAAAAATATTCAAGAGACCAACAAAATCGATGTATCCACTGTAAACAAAGTTAAACTGAGAAGCATTGTTGAGTGATTCAATCAACTGATGGGTGCACAAAAACTGTTCCCTGTTCTATTTATATTATCAATATGTTAACTAAATTTCAGAATGACCAATAATTTTAACATAAAAAATGCAGAAATATTCAAGAGACCAACTTTCTTGATATTTACTTCGCTGAAACGAATGTAAACATAGAACCAATTACTGTTTGGAGGACTAGCCGATCAGCTGATGCACACAACAAAGCGTTTGTTGTAAGGATTCGTTAATCGAAGTTTTGTTTGTTAATCGAACTGAAAATCCTTATGGGAGCTAATTCGTTAACCAAATTTTTTGTCTGAACCGTTCATTAACCGGAGAACACTGTATTATGATGGATATCCATATTTGTACTCTTATGAACATAACACTCTTTGAAGCTCTAAACAGAACAGATTATTTGGGGAAGGGTTTACACTACAGTACAGCACTGTACTTGAATTAGCCTTTCAGTTTATTTGTTCCTCTGTTTGCTCATTTGTCACACTTAAGATATTACAGTGAGACTTGGTAGACTTGTTTACCATCATATTGTAGCTACTCTGGGATGGAAAATGCAGTACTGTACAGGTATTCCACTCAAGTAACATTTAATTTAATTTGTCAATGATAGTACAGTAGAAGTGTATTCCTCTTGATGATGTACAGTACTGTACTATACTTGCATTCTTAAAATTTTTTAAGAAAAACTGTCATTCAAAATGTATTTATCTCTTGAAGTACTGTACAGTATATGTATGATCTCAACAATTAGGATAAATAATCAATTAAAATATTGACAAATTACCAATTGAGCAGATGAAGCTAGTTTATGAAGGTATCATCAGACACTGGCTCTTTTAGTTGCCTCACATCATGTCAACTTCTGGTATAGAAACATATGTAACAAAGATAGAAATAATGATTAAAAATGAAGTAGTGATGTTGTTGATGTTATAAGGTTATTACTGTAATTCATTTCAACAATTAAAGTCTTAATTCTTCATCGCAACGTCCAATGTCATAACGACACTTGTTGGAAATACAGTACTGTACAGTACTCCCAGCAAGTGTCATTGTCCTAAAATTGAGCATTTTTTTACTTTTATATTAAGAGAATAACATGAAGTTTCCATATATGGCAAAAAAAATTCCTTTGAAATGTGAGTAGCTAGTGGAAATTCATGTTTTTTATGAAAAAAATATTGAAAAAATAATATTTAGTAACTCGGGTATTCTGCTGGTAAAGTGGTCTGAGGAAATCAGATGTTGTCAAAATTGCTTCCAAAAGTTATTCATCACTGTAAATTCATTTTGTATGAAAAATTTAACCAGGTTTTGAGGTCCAATATTGGTACAGGTATCTCAACTGGAATTATTTTGGGTGAAACGAAACAAAATAGACAATACAAACACATTTATTTTTCAATAAACTTATCAAACTTGCATATATTAACTTATTTTGTAAACCATTAAAAAAAATTCTAAACTTCTTTCCAAGGAAGTGGCACAACTTTTCCAAACAGTCATCTTCCATCTTACATTCATGGTTCTGTAAATGGAGATACAATCGGTACAAACACATACCAGTAGTAAATAAAAAAGAAAAATAATGGTAATTAGTTGGTAAAGATATGCCTTAGTTACTACAAAATACCTGTACAGGTATTTGTTCTCCCATAGTCTTGCCACTACAGGAAATGAGAAGCCCAATACTGCAGTAGTTAACAGGATTCCTTCGCTAATACAGGTTGTACCTCTCTAGTCCGGCAACCTCGGATCCTGACTGGTGCCGGACCATGGAAATTGCCGGACCATGGAAATTCACCCTTTTCCTGGATAGATAGTGACTTGTGCTTATGCCTGGAAGCACTAGCACCACTTTCTCTGCGTCATGGTCTCTTTGAAGACATATTGAAGGGTTAAATGTCGTATAGTAGCTTCTCAAATTTCGTGAGTTTTTAATTCTTAACGTATTTTATTGGAACACACAAAAAAATAAATAAATAAAAATTTTGACGGCGGAAACTTGAATTTCGACGGGTTTGAACGGCCCGCCAACGTGCAGACGACGTGCATAATCGCGTAAACAGCGTCATTTCTCTTATGTACAAAAGATTCATTATTGTTTATTACTGAATGTCTTTTTTATTGAATTAATGTATATGTGTGCACAATGAGCAATACAATTCATTAATAATACGTAGAATATTAAAACACACGAGGAAATGACACAGCATTGTATTCGTTGATTACAAAACCAGTGACTAACTGGTTCTACATATAAAACTGAAGAAAATAAGACCTTGGTTGTAGCTGTAGTAAAATTAATATGGTTGTTTTAAGTAATGTTATTTAATGTTAATAAATGGAACAATAGAAGTAGATAACGATAATGGTAAAGAAAAAAGAGAGATCGCATATGTAAGTGCGCATGCGCACACGTGAAAACATATCATCATTACTTTACATAAGAATATGAAAGCAACACTTATTTACTGTTCATATATATTTTAATTAATGTTTCTGAATTTGTTTTTATTGAATTAATGTACGTGTGTACAAAATTAACAATACAATTTATTAATAATACGTGGAATATTAGAGGAGACGAGACGGCTGCCGGCATTGTTTATGTTAAAGCTTACGAAACCAGTGACTGATTGGTTCTACATATAAAACTGAAGAAAATAAGACCCTGAGTTTAGCTGTAGTAAAATTAATGTAAAAAAATGAATATGGTTGCTTGAAGTACCTGTAATGTTATTTAATGTTAATAAATGGAACAATATAAGTAGCTAACCATTAATGGTAAAAAAAAAGTGAGACTGCTCGTATGTAAGTGCGCACATGTGAAAATATATCGTCATTACTCTACATAAGAATATGAAAGCAACACTTATTTATTGCTCATATATATTGAAGGGTTAAATGTTGTACTCTGTATAGACAAGCAGAGAGAGAGAGAGAGAGAGCAGCCGAACTGCCGGATGTAAACAAACCTTAATTTCCCGCGGCTTTTTTTTTTTAAGGGGATTAGCCCACCCGGGAATAGGTCACTGACCCACATTAGGGCCTGAGGGGCAAAAATTTAATACTCCTGTTATAATAATAATAATTCAGATAAGTAAAAAAAAAAATAAAAAATAAATAAAAAGCTGCCTATCTACCTATTGGACAAACTAAAATCGTTCCGGACCACAGAATGCCAGACTAGAGAGGTACAACCTGTACAATATACACATACACTGCTAATCCCCATATAATAGAATACAAATTTACTTTTATATTCGAATGATAGGTGATAAAAAATCTCATAAGACAGTCAGCAATAGCTGGCCTCAGGTGTCAGGCAGCGTCTGTGAGTCTATATGTTTGTGTTGTGGTTGAGCCTTTTGCTGAAAGATGGCAGCACGACCCAGGGCTGGCAGTGCATTCAAATTCTTGGAACATAGTCGATTTAAGCATGGAATAAAAAAAAAAAAATTGACACATGATTTTCGTGTGTAGCATAAGAATTTTAAAATCGACTACAGTCAATTTGCACAGTGAAAGGGTTAAAAATATTTCTACAGTTGGTTAGTGATTACAGTCACTAATCCAACAACAATTAAAATAATAATACTGTATAAGACCTGTAACTTAACATGTAATGCAGCAGCAAAACATCAGAAACTACAGCGGTGTAAGTGATGCAAGTAGATACCTGTGAAATGAAATAAGTTGCATCACAGCTTGTCTTGGAGATTATGACATGCATCTTTAGACACCTGCTTAGGCCCTTTAACTTTGATTATGAAATGTCAATTTATGGTAAATTTCTGCAAACCCAACCTGCTTAATCTATTCTAATGCAAGTTAATGCAGTTGTTATGTGTTATTTGCAGTCTTTATACAGTGATATCTCCATTATCCGGAATATTTGGTCAGAGCACTTCCGGGAATGAGATATTTCCGGGTAACAAGACGACTCTCTCATAGCCTTAAAAATCCCCTCTTCCTCGGAATTTTCTGGGTAACAGAAAATTTTTCTCAGAATTTCCAGAAAAAGCGCCTGATTTTCATCTCTCAAACCCGGAAAAAACACCCCCATCCCCGGAATTTTCTGGAAAATGTGCTCCTCGGAAAATTCTTCTCAAAGCCGAGTTTTCTGGAAATCGCCTTGGGAACAATTTTCCGAGAAAATTTCAATTCCGGATATTGGAGAGTTCCGGGTTTGAGGGATTCCGGCTAACGGAGATATTACTGTATATTTGTATGTTTAATATACTGGGTGTCCCTGCATATTGTATGAGTTAGTGTTTGCCTGAATAGAGTTTGTGCAGGTTCAGCTCTGGCCAATCTTGTCTTTGTTCAACTTAAGCATAGTGGTAAAAATGTATACAGTACTGTAGTTTTTCTTACATTCCTGGTTTCCTCACAACCTTGATTTTACATAAAATGGAACCTGAACATACACACACCTATACAGCTTTTAACAATAATAATTGTTATGTAAAGTTTATTAGAGTATCTTTCTACTTTCATCCTAGATACCCAAAATTAAATCCCTTTGTACTCCGATACAGTAGTTGGTCCATTGAAAAAAACTTTAGATTTTTGGATGTTTACTGTTATAGGAATTGTGGATAAAAGTTGAACAACTTGTACTTGAATCGTCAAGATCCAGGTTCCATTATAATGTGGGATTTCAAGATCAGTCCTTCATTTCTTATCTACAGGTAATTTGCTTTAAAGCACAACTAATATTGTTTATACCCCCTCAGGTTCACTGAGTCTTCAGTGTGCAAGAAATGGATTGTGTCAGTGCAAATCAGGAGTGACTGGAGACAAGTGTGACAGATGTGCTGAAAACTACTTTGATTTTGGTCCTCAGGTGAGTTATGTTTGAATTAGCTCATAATAAACTTTTTTCAGGATCATACGAAACTTATTACAGTATTACCTCTATATCAAAATAATTGGCGAGTGTCCAGTTTGGTATTGGGAGTTTTTCGTATAAATGAATCCCAAAAAATTTATACATGTTATTTTATAATTCTATCATTCTTTAATTCTATAATATGGTACGATAATGTATTTGCATGCCTGAAGAACATTGCATTATGGAAAATTAGACTGAAGGTTGAATGTTAAATGTAAAATGACATTGTTATAATGGAGTACCAGTGCCAAGTCCATTATTATTATTTTATTTTTTAAACTTATTATTATTATTTTTTGAGGTGAATGAATCGTTTCAAAAGCTATATGTATGTTTAGAAATTTATGGGTGGAAGAACAGTTAGTTTTGGTATGAATATTTGTTAAGATAATACTGTACAGATTTATAGGTTCTAATACAAAATATCATGCTTCAGGGGTGCAAGCCTTGTGGGTGCAGCGCAGCAGGTAGTCGGAAAAATGAGGCAAGTTGTGACTCGGTGACAGGCGTATGTGCATGTAAGGAACATGTAGAAGGACAGCAGTGTGACCAGTGTAAACCTGGTTACTTCAACCTTAATGAGGAAAATGAGTATGGATGTACCCCATGTTTCTGTTATGGTCATTCTTCCATCTGTTCCTCAGCTGATGGTTACTCTCAAGGTAAGTTAATGCCTCTTAAATAATTATGAGTTGTCATTGTGCAGTATTGATCAATCAGACATGATACACTTGAATTGATGGTTATGAACTGATGGTTACTGTTTAGGGTTTCCTACTTCTTGTGAGGTTATTCAGTGATGTTGTCGAGGCCACTAAATCCTTGGCTGAGACCATTACTTGCCTTCTGAGACTGAAATCAAGACCAATTACACTGAGCATTTTTATATGCCTGTGCATAAGCCAATTTTGGGGGAATGATTTTTTAGTAAAATATTAGGGTTCCTCCACGTACAGTACAGTAAACCCTTGCTGTTCACAAGGGTTAGGTTCCAAGGAATAGCACAAATTGGCAAAATCCACAAATAGGAATTTATACTACCTGAATGCACTACTGTATACCTATACTGTGTATGAGAAACTTAATTCACCAATACTACTTACCTTCATATATGGAAGTTTGGAGCTTGATGAAGTGTACTGTACAGTAGGATGAAATCTGGTTACTGAGGCATAGGGAGATCATCAGGATCACTGTTGGAAGAGGTGATGCAGTGGTGGTTGGTGGAGGGGCGGGTGGTGGAGAGGCGGGTGGTGGAGAGGCGGGTGGTGAAGAGGCGCGGGGCGGGTAGGCAGGTGGTGGGGAGGTGGGTGGTGGAGAGGTGAGTGGCAGGGAGGTGTGTGGTGGGGTGGCTCGTGGCGGGTAGGTGGGTGGTGGAGCGGCGGCAGCAGCTGACCGAATAGGTGAGGGGACAAATCAGCTGGGTGAACAGCTGGTTCTTTCTTGAAAAACATCGTGATTGCTAGTTGTTTCTTCTTGTCATTGAGGTCTCTAAACATTTCCTGGTAGGGAACCAATACCTGGCTGATTTCAAAGACAATGTTAAGGCTCTATTACATGGAAGGGTCAAAGTCAACAGTGAAATCAGTTGCCACCTTTACTTGTCAAAATAATTCACCAAAATTGTTCAAGCTCCAACCTTTTTGTTGCAATTCCATTGTTTCTTCCTCTTCATCATCCTCAGTTCTTTTTACCAACTCTTCCAAATCCTCTTCTCTCAGTTCCTCTCCGTACCCATCAATCAGCTCTTCCACATCTTCAGCAGCCATGTCCACAAACCCCTTGCCACCCAATTGACGCGCAACACTCACAATGTCATTCACATCCTTTACTATGGACGGAAATCCCTGGAAGTTATTCACGCACTCAGACCGTAACATGTGCCAACAAGCATTCACTGTCTCTAGTTTTAGTTCACTGAATGATTCACTGATGTTGGAAATGCAGCCTGCAATGTTGTACTTCCAGCACTTGCTAACATCAAGGTCAGGGTCTGTTCATGGCACTACGGATATGACCAAAAGGGGGTCAGGTGTTATGTGCCTTGAAGGTGCGTATACACCTGATCGAGAGGTTGGATAAGAACAGTGGTGTTAGGGAGGGTACACCACCTCTACACCTGGATAGCTAAAATGTAAACCTTCTGGGTGGCCTGGTGCATTGTCTATCAATAATAGCACCTTGAATCCCATCTCCTGGAAGCAAGGTACTTTTTCATTTTTGGGACAAAGCATTTATGGAATTAATCCAGGAATGCTTGCACAGTTACCCATGCCTTTTTGTTGGGCTGCCAAAAGACTTTAAAGCCCTAGGGTTTGTTCAGTGGTAAAGCAAGCCAGGTTGGATCATGTGGCCAGCTGCATTGCCACAGAAGATGAGCGTCACTCTGTCTTTGGTTGCCTTGAACCCAGGGGCACGCGTCTCCTATTTGTTAATGTAAGTTATACCAGGCATCTTTTTCCAATATAGACCTGATTCATCGGGTATAAACACTTGCTCTGGTCTATAGCTTTTCTCCTCTATTATTTTCTTTAATTTTTAGGGAAATGCATCTACGCTGTGTGGTCAGCTGATGCGCCTCCCAGTCAGCTTCACACTACGTAGAGAGAATCTTCTCTTAAAATTCTCGAACTACCCTTTACTGGCTTAAAAGTTTCTTCAGTAGCTGCACTAGCCCCTTCACCACCTGTTGACTCGTTAAAATGGCATAAAACTCTTATCCTTCTCACGAATCCCATTGCTGTCGATCAGCACGTTTTTGTGGTGATGGTCCTCACTCAGAATGTTCAATGTGTTTTGTGTTTTCACAATTCTCTTGTCATGAACAATCTGTGCCACTTTAGCACTTGAGAGCATTCACTTTAATAGAATCATGAATTGCGTGTTCATTCTTCTTTAGATACTGCACTGTGGATTGATTCACACCAAACAACCGACCAGCTGTGGCAGCACTCATCCCCGCTTTTAACTTGTCTAATAATTCAACTTTCTTTGTCAGGGTCATCACTGACTTCTGCCTTTTACGTTTCACTCGACTAGCATCACTAGAACTGACACGAGGCAGTCTTCCAGGGGCCATTTCACACAGAAACACTAAAGTTTTGAGTACAACACGAGATGCTGCGTCACAGGCAATGGTTCAGCACAAACAAGGGAGAGGAGACACTGCTGGTGCGTGGGGGTGACTCGGTGCGGTGTGGGAGAGGCTTGTAAACTAGCCACCATTTGCTTACTGTGAATAGTCGAAACCATGAATAGCAAGCGTTTACTGTATAAAATTTTTAGGGGTTGAAATCCATGGATACTGATAGAGGGTTAGTGTTGCCCTAAACATGGAAACACACTAGGACCTCACTAATTCAGCCTCCACTAATTCAAAGTACCTACTAATTCATACATATTTCACATGATAGAAGTATACAAAAATCTCAAAGTTTTCAGTCAATTGCACAATTTATTTGAAGTTGTTCAAAATCTATGCATGCAGTTCAAGTGATCAGGAGATTGTGTGGGCCTGCTAGGGTATCAATTTGTGTATTTTGGTCATACTTTTCATGCATCTACAATACCTGCTACCAATACAATATGTAACCTTTCTTTTTGTTACTGTTAAAGGCAGCTTTTCTAGCACCCTCCTAATGTGGGGTGAGTAATACTAATAAGTGTATTGTTAAATAGTTTGTTGTTTTGTAAGTTATAACTGGGAAAAGAGATATTGCTTGATCTCTAACTTAATAGGTGTTTAAACTTCCATGATTACAAAACTTTCTTATGTATCCAGGTGCAATTGAGAGTGGCTTTGTGCGAGGTGAGGAGCGGTGGCGCATGGAGGAGTCCACAGGAAGACCAGTGTCTCTCAACTACAATGCCATCACTCAGAGCCTTGCAGTATCTGCTCCTGGAAGAGACAAGGTCTACTTTTGCCCTGGTAAGTTTAAAGCTTATAAAGTAACCTAGTAGGATATAGTTTTTCTTTGTCTTCAATTATTCCCACCATCTCTTCAGAGTCCTTCTCCTTTGATTAGTCAAAAGGTGAGTAGGAAGATGCTTTCATGCTCTTGCCCATAAGATGTGTGTAGGTTTTCTAGGTATCTCTTCGTTTGGTGAAGTTTTGGTTTGTAATAAGTTTCATGAGTTTCGAGGTTGGTATTATTTTGCCCACTGGCATTGTTGTTCTATAATATTTAGGTTTTGCAATATTTTCTCTATGATGTCTTTAAAATCTTGCTCCCTGACTAGAAGACATGGGCAACACTGGAAATGTATATGCTAAGGGTGTTCTTTTATTTCTTCATACCTGGTAAGTGTGATGCTTACTCCCATGGATGATGCACAACCACATATCATTTGGGGTAATTTATACCACCTCCCTTTCACCTTACCTGGCTTTGGTATTCACAAATCATTCTAGGCAAGTTTAGGTTATATTTTTTAGATCGATCCTGAAATCCCTGTTCATGAATGAGCCTGGATAAAATGACTTCGTTCCTGCCCTCCTCCCTTGGGATTTTCAATGGAGTCGGCTGGAAATGAGAGATTGTGTAACTGGGTATGGCTGTGCTTGCCTCATCAGCTGGAAAAGTGTGAGGATTGGAATTCAGAGACCAAAGTTAATGAACATCTGACTTTTGGCTCATGCTTTTTATAGTATTTGATAACCACTGATTCTCCAGAAAATTAGCTGTTTATGCAGATTTATCACTGTCTCAGCCTCCTGGACAAGGCAGGCTCTGCCAAGGGGTGTGCTTCTGGAAGGAGTTTCTTGCAGTTCATTTGACTCTTTCCATCAATGATAAAATGGAATTTGTAAGCTCAATACTTTGTTTTATCACTGCTTTTTTGTTTGGATAAAAATAAGTTGTGTATTTCAGATCGTTTCCTTGGTGATCAGAGGGCAAGCTACAACCATAAAATTTCATTCTTCTTACGTGTGGGAGAACTTGGTCCTCAGTCCAGCACAGAAGATATTGTCCTGGAAGGTGCTGGCCTCACCATCTCAGCACCTATCTTTGCACAAGGCAATAGCCTTCCAAGCACCCAGGTAATTGCTCAAATTTCAATAGAGTCAGGTTATAAATGTAATATAAATACATGTACTACACTTGAAATACTGTAAAATTTGGTGTTGTACTGATAAACCTTTGTATCAGTAATCTGTATGACCTTTTATAATAAGGTAACCTCTTAACGGTAGTGATTTTGCACTGATTTTTTTTCTTTACCTACCAACAGAAACAAGAATATATTTTCCATCTTCATGAGAATTCTAAGTTCGGTTGGTCTCCTCGTCTGACGTCACGGGACTTTATTTCTCTTTTGTCAAATCTAACCGCAATTAAGATCCGTGGAACATATACCTATGATGGTGAGTAGAAGTTCCTTGTAAGACTGACTACTTTTATATCCATGCAAACCAGTTCCTACAGGATGACCAGAATTAAGATGAACTCAGACTCTCCTTTCATTTGATATGTCATTCCCTCCAACTGCTGTAACAGATGTTTCTTTTAGTCTTTTTCTACCATAGCATGGCCCTGAGATTTCTATTTGGTTTATTCCTGTTGCTTCAAATAGCCATCATCTTCATCCACTGCATATCCATTCCCATGAGCCATTTGACACCATTCCTTTTTATCATGCACACATTCTGTTGCTTCCTGGATATCCATTTATTTCCTATACAGAACTGTACTTCCATTACCCCATCTTTCCACTTTCTTGGTCTTCCCTGTCTCATAACATCTTCTGAATAAAACACTTTTTACCAATCTATTGTTCTACATTCTCCATGTTCATACTACAGTACCTTAGTAAATTCTAGTCAATTCTGTTTGTTAGTACTGTCACTTCCACACAAAAAACTCTCTTCATCTATAACTTTTAATTTTCTTCTTCCTCTTGCATTTAGAAGACCCTGTTTCACATTATACAATAATGTTGGCTCAACTATTTTCCTATTCATCCTATTCATGGCTTGATACACTTTTCTGTATGACTCACTTTCCATACCCTGACACATCCACTTCCTTCAGTCAGTCTCTATTCAGGCTAACATTAATGTCTTCTCAAATTCTTCCCAAAACATTTTTTATCAACTTATCACCGTACCTTAGTTCACATTTGCTTTTTGTTTTAATTAATTTTTTTTTACTTTACTCTTCCAGAGTCTTTCAGTAACATGAAGAACTTTTCTTCTGAATCATCCATCATCTTGTAATCCACACACAGCTGCTGACTCCCCTTTTTGTTCAATCCAGAATGCGACGTCTAGCGTCTAGCTTTATACCTCGGTATGTTAATGCCTAGCAATAACTCGCCAGGCCAACATACAGGCAATTAAAACATCTGATTATTACTTAATACATAATATTAGGAGGACACGTCGCTACCTGGCATTTAATTGCAATTCTCAAAACCCCTTCCCGCACCCTCCATCACACGCATTGCTACCTAGGTATAAAGTTTGATGCTAGACGTCACAAAACTGGTTTTAGAAAAATGGCTTTTTCATCACTTTTGCACAAACCTCTTTTACTACCCCATTCATAAAAATATTGAATATGAAAGGCAATGTTATGTTTGTTGTAATCCTGCTTTAATTGAAGAACCAATTATAAGTTTTTAACATCAGTGTCGTCTTTGGCCTCCTCTCATTCTAGCTGAATGACTGGGGGAAAAGATCAGTTAAACAAAACTGAATTTTCATAAAATTGAGAAACCGTGAGTAAGTGAGGCTTGAGTTGGTATACAGTAATGAGGTCTCCAATAATATGATTAGTCAAATCAGGTTTATGTTGGGGGATTCCTTCTACCATTTCTGCTTCTTGAGGCTATCTTAGAAATGTAGCAGTACAAAAAACCTGAAAATATAATTCATTATAAGCAAACATATAACAAGGGCATGTGCAAACCAGGTGAAAAGAAGGAATGCTAACACTAGACTGGCAGATGCCACTGCAGGGTCTCTTGGATCAACCTAAGGTGACTTTTTTTCCACTCTGAAATATCATACATGTAGTAGACACATAATCTGGAAACTCAAAATCTTCACAGTAGTAGGGTAATGAATGGTTTCCTAATATTAAATCTATAGTTGGCTAACTGCTGAAATCAAATTCCCCAAAATCATGCCGACATTATGACCCTATGCACTCCGTACACTATGCCCTTGAAATTAGTGGGGTTAGGTTCTCAAAATGGCCGTGAATCGCCAAATCCACGAATAACATTTACTTACCGGGGAGGGGGTGTACATTTTTACTTATGTACAAAGAAATGTATATTCCCTTTATGTGTTTACCCTTAGGACAATTATATCTTTTACAGTATATACAGAAATAATGTATATTAAAAATGTTGAGTCTACCCTCAAGTCCACTCTGTGCTTTGTTATTAATAAAGCATGGAGTAGACTTGAGGGTAGACTCAACATTTTTAATATACATTTGTTTCTGATTATTTGTGAGAGGATTTTCCCATTATTATATATTTGTATGTGTTTTGTGTGTAGAGTCTCCACACACACACACACACACACACACACACACACATGTACTGTACAGTGGTCCTTGATTAACAAACACAATTGGTTCCACAGAGTCGGTTTTTAACCGGAAATTTCGTTAACTATATCTATTATTTCAATGGAATATTGGGTAATTGGTTCCAACTCAAAGAAAAAGTATACATAAAAAGTAGTATACCGGTAATAGAATTAACAAAACATTAAATATAAACTAAATACAGTACTATACTGCACAGTATACTGTACAATAATAAATATAAAACAATAGAATAAGTACTGTATTTTAACTTACTTTAAGGTGTGTATGTTGTATTACCAGCAGCTTTGTTTGCATGTCAAATAGCTGATTGTAGAGGCAGTCGATGATGACATGCCATATTCTTTATAGAGTGCATTGGTTCTAATGCCTTCTTCATGTTTCATAATAATTTCTGCACTGTATATTATCAATATGTTAACTAAATTTCAGAATGACTAATAATTTTAATGTAAAAATGCAAAAATATTCAAGAGCCCAACTTTCTTGATATTTACTCCACTGGAAACGAATGTAAACATAGAACCAATTACTGTATTATGGACTAGCCGATCAGCTAATCGGCTGATGCACACAACAAAGCGTGTTTCTCATAAGGCTGTCGTTAATCAAAGTTTTGTTTGTTAATGGAGCTGAAAATCCTTACGGGAGCTAATTCGTTAACCAAATTTTTTTTAATTGAACCATTCGTTAATCGAGGGACCATTGTCCCTTACCTGTATACAATGCAGGTAAAGGAAATTACTGTCTCTAGAATGAATATCTCCCTGTCCTGGCTGCAAAAGTGCCGGCAACTTTAAAACTCCCCGCAGACATTCTTTGGTACATCTAGGTTGTCATCCACGAATAATAGAGGACCGAAAAAGTAAAAATCCACGAATTACCTGGGCATTGTACTTGAAATATCTTTTCTTTATAATGATAGGTTCAGTAATTTATTTATTTTTATTTCAGGTCGTGGTTTTGTAGATGATGTGAGGCTTGAAACTGCAAGGCGAGGTGTATTTGGTGTTCACGCTAGTTGGATAGAGATGTGCACATGTCCAGAAGGTTATGTGGGCCAGTACTGTGAGTCTTGTGCACCAGGCTATCGCCACAATCCTGCTAACGGTGGACCATTTGCTGCCTGTATTCCTTGCAACTGTAATAATCATGCTGACATTTGTGACTCTGAGACTGGTAAGTGTAGTATATCCTTTTATTTCTTTGTTTGTGTCAACGTGGTATTGAAATATATACTACAGGTACACTCGCACTAAAAAAGTATCGGTGTAGGGTGAGATCGACGACTTCCGAAACGATACGTATACACTGTGATATGTCGGGAAGGTTGGTAAGTGTATCCTCATAACCCACTAGGTGTTGCCATATGGCTGACAATCAGTGTGTTTGTTTCTCTTTTCGGATTGGTGCTTTGTGTCGACTGAATGACGAGCTAGGGTCTGTTTCGTGAATGTGGGTGTAAAACAGAGGCAATATGAAGCAGTAGAGATCTACACTGCCAGATGATATGGAAATCTCAGAGGAACACGAGGAGCTATTATTGCCCTTCATAACAAAGGGTTCGGCCACAGATATTAGCCGGGGGTTGGTGTCCACAGGAACACCGCTGCACGATGGATTCGTGATACCTCAAACTGGTGCTACAGACGACAGGTCTCGAGCGGCTGTCCATGCTGCACCACCCCTCAGGACGACCAGGTTGATTGGCTTATTTGGTAGCATAAATTAATGTGGTAATATTCACAAGTATCACAAATAATTTTGTTAACAGGGAGCTCCTCATATTTCATACTGTCTATTTATCACTTCCCGTCCTTACTTATAACGGTTTGTTTCACTTGGCCAGGGCTGCCAACATACGGCTGGAACAACTCGTCTTTCCCAATACCTATCGTCACTGGTCTCAAATTGTTCACACTACAGTATGCACCGATACTTTTTGTTGCGAGTGTACAGCCCTTGAAATTGGATGGCAGTCACCGATAGCCTTCATTATACTGCGTACAGCATCTCCCTTAACTTAAGATTTTCATTTTTGGCATCAGATTGCCACACACTTCGACACCAAATATTTTATCTATCAATCGGTCAACCTTGAAATTGGATCTCGGAAAACCATAGATTCTCTTCCTGGGTTAGATTGAAATTACTTCTCTGGCAACAAGTTTTGCTTCCACACCCACACAAACTCAATTGAAGGCCTTTTATTTCTTTGTTAACAAAATAAAATTATGCTGCATACTGTAATGTATTAAAAAAGTACGATCTATTGGTCTGTTGATGCTGCAGAAGTTTTTAGTGAGTCACTATATTTGTCAGATATATAGTTCATAAAAATAATTATCAGATTGCATAAATAACCCAGTACAAGGTACCTTGATTATCTTCATTTAGTTATTGTTTTCACATAGCTTTTGAAACAAATATTGGTCAAATTATACCAAAGATTTGAGGAACAAATGCCACATGCTACATTTTATCACATCAAAGTTTTAAAAATGGAAATAGCTATCCATTATGATATACAAAACTAATGTTTTCACCTTCTTCCACAGTTCCACATGTTTATGTCTCTTACAAGATTAGCCTGACACACTAAGCTGCAAATCATTCTCAAAAAGTCTTAATAAATGCAAAAATTGCAAATTTATGAAAAAAATTGCAGGAGCTCCACAAAATTTAATGTGTGTAACACAGACTGAGCGGGAAAGTGACCGTATCGAGCTCACACTATCCTCAGCTCACACTGACCCAGATTGAAGTGACATTATTCTTCTTTTATCCTGCTGTAATCTCTCCATTAAATTATTAATTTTCAGATCCCTGTACTGTATATTTATATTTTTCCATACAGCTTGCACAACACTAAGCAACTTTCTCAAATGGTGCTTGCTATGCTATTTTTATTTTAGTGCAAGATGGGCAACCTGTAAAAAAAAAAAAAATCAAATTTATGTTATAGGATATTTTTTATGCTACAGGTATTAACCAAAATGAACCATTTAATTTCAAACTTAGGACTTTATATCAATATATTCATTGCTTTCATACCTGTGCAGTACTTTATTTTATGTATCTCTAAATCACTGAAATTTACTTTAAAATGTTAATACCTTATTTCTCCTTGGGTTGTGCTAAACTAAGATTAGCAGCATGAACAAATACATGTCTGTATACATATATAAAAGAGTAAATGGGTAAAGGATTTTATTCACATATCACAGGTACAGCTAGGTCAAACATCTTAACAGATGTAAGTATTTGTAAAATGAAGTGAAACCTAGATTTACTGTAGGTCTGGAGGTCAAGCAACCAGTAATCATCTCATCAATGCATATGGCATCAATGTCCAGAATCTTGTTTATTATTTACTATGAAGATGTCTATAATTCTAATGATTTCACTGTTCATCTCTTGGAGGTTTCCCTTAGCTGAATAAAATACAGTGACCCCCTCCTAACGAACTCAATCCGTTCCAGAAGGTTGTTCGTTAACCGAAAAGTTCGTTAACCGAAACCATTGTTTCAATGGGTTTTTGGGTAATTGGTTCCAGCTCACCGAAAATTTCCTAAATTCAACAAAAATGGTAGAAAAGTTCACTTACTTTGAGGTGTGTATGTAGAAGGCTTCTGGATGATGATGATGATGATGGGATTTAGAATGGGGTGGAGGAGAAGGAAGAAGAGAAGGCGGTGGAAGAGAAGTCACCCCATGGCTCCATTTCACCCATAAAATTTTAGCTCTCTTGGTGTAATTCAAGATTATTTCTTTTAAATCAACACTGCACTGCATTATATTGTCAATATGTAAAATATATTTCAAAATGACCAATAATTTGCTTGGAAACACAGAAAAGCATTTAGTTGAAGAGAGTCTCAAGCAAGATGTTACCTCCAGTGAAAAACAGAGAGACTAGCCTGTCTGGTGTGTTAAGAGGCTGGATGCCGAGCATTAAACTAGTCACTTTACCTTCAATTATGTTCAATAATTGTTAAAATGGCTAAAAATTGAATATTAAACTTTTAAAATTATTGAATAGTATAAACTTTGATATTTACTAAAATAGTAAGGAATTTAAGCCCTAGAACCGATTAATGTATTGGCGGACTGATACTAAAGCTGGTTGCCCGGTCAGTGCATAAAACATGTTGAGGTCGGTTCGTAAGAACTTCGTTAACCCAATTTTTTCGTTAACCGAATTGAAGATCCTTATGGAAGGCAGTTCTTTAATCAAAATTACGTTAACCGAGTGTTCGTTAAACGAGGGGTCATGTATAGAATTCACTTCGATAAACACAGCATGGGGGGTTTAATTAATAGAAAAGTTTTCCTTTATGCAATATAGTACCTGTATACTGTAATGAAGAATAAAAAAACATTAATTTAATCTGATTTTAAGTAAATTTGAAAGTGTTTTATTGGGATATAAATGTGGGTCTACCCTCAATGAACTGTTGTAATAAATTATATTATATGAATTATGATGTTTTGCCCCTAAGGCGCATGGATGTCGGTCCTTTGAGAGACATTGCAAATACTAGAGATTAGGACTTGTGAATGGTGAATAGAAATACTTCTACTAAATTGTGAGTAAGTGAAGTTGATGAATTCAGAAACCAAATATTGAGGGTTTATTATACAATATATACCATTATGATACTGTATACAGTAATGCAACGTAATGAAATAATTTTTACAGGTCGTTGCATCTGTCAGCACAACACAGCTGGTGAACAGTGTGAACGTTGTGGTAAGGGCTACTATGGTAATGCTTACATGGGTCACCAAGTGATTGTCAGCCTTGCCCATGCCCGAACAGTGGTGCGTGTATCCAGCTGCCAGATGACACTGTTGTCTGCCTTGAATGCCCCACAGGATATGCAGGTGAGTGTGTAATAGAATTCACTTTGTCCCTCAACTTATTTTGTCTTACTCAAGCATCTCTCTCTAGGTCAGTGTGTTAATCAGTTGTCTGTGCTCGTTTGAGAAAAATTATATAAATATAATCATAACAATACTCTAAGGTGGCTTAAAAATAAAGAAAATACAACATAAAACTATAAAATAAGAAAAATGAAGATAGGGAAGTGTGTGGAGGCAGTGAGCTGTGTCTCTCCTTCCCTTCATTAATGTGAGTCAGCTGGGTGGCTGAGAGACTGAACTGCGTCACGCTCCGAGGAGCTATTTTTTGTACAGTACATAAAATAATATATTGTATACTATTGTACAGTTAAATGTGAGAAGAAAAATATAATGCTGCTACGGAATTAGGGTGGGCTCGTGCCCATTTTCCCCACCCATATCTTCTTGGACCCTCCCTTGATATTCCTGGATCTGGCCTTAAGCCTTACTTTTCCTTCACTTGGCCGAATCTGCCTCACTCTCATACTTCACCACTGGGCTACCACTGTTATACAAGCTTCTCTGTCCTTGTGAGTCTGTCTCACCCTCATACTTGACCACTGTAAAAGGGTAGAGCTACGTGCAACTATGCACATGTGAACCTCAGCTCGGAATAAACAAAATTTGGGTGGTTAGAAGTGTGTGCCATACATGTCATTTTAATATTTGTGAAGTTGTTAAAAATGAGTATTACTGTATTGTCTGCATGGATAATGTGTCATGCCATGAAACAATAGAAGCTCCCACACTAATGGGAGTCTATGGTAAGGGGTGCAAGTCACTTGTTTCTTCCCTTAGTCATAAATTAGGATTATGTCTCAACCTTTCTTGTTTAATGATATGTTTATTATTTCTTTGCAACCTGTTGATGTAATCTGATTGTGTAGGTGGATCACATAACTTCCAAAGTACTTTTCCTTACTTTTTTATGTCTTAATTGCTTACTCATGTGGCAGTCTTCTCTCTTCAGTACCTATTTCATGCCTCTTTCTCATAGATTTATGACATGATAGTGCGTGTAAAATATTCCTCAAGAATTTTGGTGTGACAATGCTTTAAATTCATTTATTTAATAAACAGTAGCAATACTCACTGTCTAAAAACTTATAAATATTAAATTGGTTTTCAGGTAAGATAAGGTTTTTCTTGCTATAAATACGTGATGAAAAAAAAGATTTATAAGGGGATAGAATTAGAGAAGAGTAAATGTAACAAAACTCTGTACTTCTTGTACATTTAGACTTGCTTATTTTTTAACTCTTATATTTTAAGTTTTATGTTATTTAAAGCTATTTAAAACTATTCCAGTTCTATTACAAAATACTTGACAGAAGTAGAATGAAGTTTCATGTGCTAAATATTTGCAGGACCTCGTTGTGAGTTGTGTACGGATAGTTTCTTTGGAGACCCAAAGGGTCGACATGGTCCTCCTCGTCCATGTGAAACCTGTGATTGCAATGGCAACATTGATCCTAACGCTGTAGCTAATTGCAATCGCACAACTGGAGAATGTTTGAAGTGCATCTACCATACTGGTGGTTTCTACTGTGATCAGTGCTTATCAGGTAAGTGATAAATTAATTTTTATAGAAATATTAACACATAGTCAGATAGAAGAGTATTATATAGAGGATATGGAGAGAACAATGGGACCTCGTGTTCCGGAATATTTTCCAGGATTAAATGAAGTTTAAAGTCTAGAAGATCAATATGATCAGCCAAGGTACAGTTACTGCTGTAATATAAGTGCTCACCTGACCTCCCTCTGTTGTTATTGAGGGACATAACTTAGCTTCCAAGTATCCATTTTTAGGACTGTGGTTACAATAGGGGAGGTTTTCTGATTATATAGAGTAGACCCATTAACTTATGTCAAGGTGTCATGGATCTTAGATCTACAACTTTGTGAGTTCATGTAGTCTTGCTGCCTAATGCCATTAATGGCATGATGAATAATATATACAAAATTTGAGGCCCCCCGCATCGTAAGGGGTTTACGCCAAAATTTGAAACCAAGAAAACCGCCCTTAAACTTTATCCAACTTCTAACAAGCATAACTTTGTTGTTTTTTGAGATACAGCATTCATTTTTGATGCATTTTGAAGCTAAAGGCTAAAGGACTGTACTTGCAGTTGGTAGTTAGCTCGTCATGAAGTAATGTACTGGATTGTTGCAATGTTGACTTGAAGCAACAAAACTCCCACCTGCTTATGGCTTTTTTTAACTTTAATCGATATCAGAGTGTAGATCCCACAACAACAAAGGAGAACTGAGGGAGAGGGAAAGAGGGATTCCGCACTCATTGGCTGGAGGGGCCGTGACATGGATAGCAGACACTCACTGTCATTGGCTGAGATGGGGGAGGAGGCTTCGGCCGCTGCTGTGATTGGCCGCCTGCTCTCCTCACTCACTCATTGACAGGACGAGAGCACCTGATGACACGAAAGCCAAGCCCATACTTTCCTGTCTGCCACAAATCGATGTTACACTCTATTTTCAAATGGCTTTCAACCTTATATACAGTTTAGTAAGGTGATATTATCCACTACCATCTTATAGAGCTTGGCCGAAAATAATGCTTTCTAAAAAAAAAAAAAAAACGGTTTTGCCCGGGTGGTCTGAGTTACCCTTTCGATGCGGCAGGTCTCATTTGATAAAACAATTTAATAATTTTGATTTATTGAAGTTCACTTTTACATCCTCAGGATTTTATGGTGATGCCCTGGCATTACCCAAGGGTGATTGTCGTCCATGTCGCTGTAACTCGTATGGAACTCTGGCAGAACGTTATGGACCACCAGTATGTGACCAAGTGACGGGACAATGTCAGTGTAAGCCTCATGTTACAGGTCTCAAGTGCAATGAGTGTGAAGCAGGATTCTGGAATCTTACAAGTGGGGTGGTAAGTTGTTTACAACCTGTTTCCATGAAATAATCTATAGGTATTCTTTCTTATCAAGTATGCTAAATATTAAATTATACAAACATTTTCTGTATTTACAGTGTACAGTACAAGGCTTAAATTTTTATATTAAAATACCCCTAAAACTACCCAATATTTTGTACACTGATACTATGGGTTAAGAACTGTGGTGGTCTGATGTCCGTATGAGCCTTTGTATTACAGTGGTCCCTCGGTTAACGAACTTCGTTAACAAAATTTCGGTTAACCTATTACCTTCCATAAGAATCTTCATTTCGGTTAACGAACAAAAATTCGGTTAACGAAATTCTTACGAAAATGTTTCGACATGTTTTGGCTTGCTCACCAGCTGGAAGATTAGTCCGCCAATACAGAAATCGGTTCTAGGGCTTGCATTCGTTAAAATTGGAGTAAATATCAAGGAGGTTGTACTATTCAATAATTTTCCAAGTTTTATATTAAATTTTTTAGTAATTTTAACACTTATTTAACATAATTGCAGTACTGGGAACTAGTTTTTGGTGTGCCCATCAGCCACTTCACTCATCCACCAAGGCGTCAGTATGTATCTCTGTTCAGTGGAGGAAACATCTTGCTTGTGGGTCTCTTGAACACAGAGTATTTTTACATTTTTACAGTGTACTGTACAATTATTGGTCATTCTGAAATTTATTTAACATATTGACAATATATAGTGCAGTGCAGTGTTGATTTAAAGAAAATAATCTTGAATTGCACCTAGTGAACTTAAAATTTTATGGGTGAAATGACGGCATCAAGCATGGGGTGATTTCTCTTCCACCCCCACTTCCTTCTCTTCTCCTTCCTTCAACCCCACTTCTAATTCCCATCATCATCAACCAGGAGCCTTCTACATACACACCTCGAAGTAAGTGTACTTTACTGCATTTTTTTTTTTACTTTGTATGTAATTTTCGGTGAGCTGGAACCAATTACCCAATATCCCATTGAAACAATGGTTTCGGTTAATGAACGACCTTCTGGAACGAATTGTGTTTGTTAACCAAGGGACCACTGTGTACTATACTGAAGGTTAATCCAGTCATGCAGCCAGGATTAAGTTGAGCCTTTTATAAAAATACTGTACCAGTACAGTAGTTCTAAATATATTTGAGTACAGTAATGCCCCATTTAGAGCTGCTTCATTGCAGTGCTCATGGTCTTGGAGACAGTATTTTTATGTATTTACTGGTAAAAAAAACCAGATACACATCCATTAACACCAGATAAATTACAGCAGTATCTATTTTATTTCCTTTTTTTTTCTTCCCTCTTATTACTGTAGGGTACAGATTCTTTGGTCATAATACAAAATACCCTCTGTTGTGCACTGTAAACACTTGTTGCAAAGTGATGAATGCTGTGGTCCATTTACTGTACTTGAATTTTTCTGGGCTTACATCACAATAAAGAAGTTTGACCATGTAATAAAAAAAAGGGCTAATTTAGGGTTCTGCTTTTATTGAAAAGTGCAGTATTGAATCACATTATAATTATATGAAAGGTCTATAGTACTGTACTGTCCCTGGGTTATGAACGGGTTCCGTTCGTGAGGACTTTTGTTAGTTGGATTTGTACGTAAGTCAGAACACATGCTATATGCATACTGTACAGAACAATGTTTAAAATCCCACTATATCATAGCCTAAATCCTTATATACATGTAAAATCACTTAATTTAAGACAAAAGAAGAAATATATTGACAAAATAAAGTAAATGAAAGTAAAAAAATAAGTCATCAGGTAAATAAAATACTGTAAATTTAAAGTTTAACCTCGTTCAGATCGGCGGGCATTTGCAAGTCAGGGACCTCCTGTATGCAAATAAAGTTGACGGAAATACAATCAAAGTCAATTTTGTGGCCCATCAACTTAATATACTACCCTTCCACTGTCACTGGCCACTTTTATTCATCTCAACACAGTATAAAATACATCCTTTATATTGTATTCTTTTAATATAAAAACTCTCCTTCTTAGAACAAATATCTTCATTCATTCTCTGCTCCTTTTAGTAACATGTTACACACAAGTAATCTGTCCTGCAAGGCACATTCTTACCCTGCTATCACCTTTACATCCCTCATAAGTTTCCAGTCACAGTCTGCTTTAACTTAATTTTAACAAATCACATGTATACCGGTCGAGAGTATTCTTTCTCTTAACAAATGGCCTATCGAACTACCATACGATGCAGTGTGCTAGGATACTGTACTTTAGGCATAACAAGGGGTGGCTCTGTTCTACCTCTATGGTACATTGTAAACCACCTGTTCACTTTTCAATCATAAAATGGTGGTGGAGTCTTGATAAATCACAAAATATAAAATCAAGCTCTTAAATTCGTGGATACCTCTATTACTTCCCCTTTTTTTTCAATTTTGTGGTCAAATATTCTTAATTTGCAGATGAGTATGCACCAATTGCCGCAGTTGAGTGTTTACATAAAAAACCTTAAAAGTTGTGGAAAATATAATTTCACTGCTTTAATTTGCCTTGTAAATAAAGAAAATATAATATGAATATCACTTCAATGCTCCACTGTGACTTAGAAATAAAGAATATATAATACACAACTACAAAATAAGAAAAATGATAATAGTAAGTGAATTGTTTGTGGGAGGCAGAGCAGTGTGTGGTGGACTGAGCAGCCCCTCCCTCCCTCCCATTCCTAGGCAGAGCTCGGCCCTCCACCTCCGACCTCATTAATGCAATATAGAATTAATTTTTGTACAATATCTACGTGTTACTGTGTTTTTTTTCTGTATTTTATAATGATGTTTAGTGTTTGTTAAACCTGTTTTGGAACAGTTTATGGGTGTTTCTTGGCCTGTGGAACCAAACTACATTGATATCTCCATTAGCTGTAAATAATTAGTGCAGAGTACTTCTGGGAATGAGATATTTCTGGTACAGATCATTCTGAAAGCTGGAAAAAGTCCCTCTTCCCCGGAATTTTCTGGGTAATGGAAAAATTTTCTTGGAAATTCCAGAAATGGTACATTACATCATCTCTCGCATCCAGATAAATGTCCCCCATTCCCGGAATATTCCAGAATTTTCAAGGTACTCAAAAAAAATTTTCTTTGGAATTTCCGGAAAATGCACTTGTTTTTCATCTCTCAAACCCCGGAGAGAACTCCCCATCCCGGAATTTTTTTTTTCTGGGTGCTGGGAGAATTTTCAAGGTACCGAAAAAATTTTCTTGGAATTTCCGGAAAATGCGCTTGTTTTTCATCTCTCAAACCCCGAGGAGAACTCCCCCCATCCCCGGAATTTTTTTTTCTGGGTGCTGGGAGAATTTTCCAGAAAATGTGGCTCTTGGAAAATCTGGCTTTGGGAATGATTTTCCGAGAAAATTTCAATTCTGGCTGTTGGAGATATTTCTTATTTCTATTTAAATAAATTAAACTACAATTAGAAATTTGATAATTTATGATGCCTTCTAGTACCTAACCTGAATATTATCAGGATTTTTGTATATCTTGTGTATTTCCAAAAGACTGTACTGTATGTGTATAGTAGTGCTTGCCTAAATAAAAATGGCTCTGTGAGTGTCCGACTGTAGTTAAACCTACGTAGCAATGGTGCTCTGTACTAGGTGCATAGTTTAGATGTGGAAACTTTCACTAATGAACAGAAAAATTCTTTAACTATGCAATTTTTTCCAGAGAAAAGAAAATTAGTCTCAATGCCCAGAAATGTTCTTACACCAGTTGTTCCAACTAACAGGGATTATCACTACATGTATATAATGTACCGTATTTTGATGAATATAAGCCGCACAGTTCCCCCAAAAAAATTATAATAAATACAAATATGGGTGCAGCTTCCTATCAGATATGAATTTTAGTAATACTTCAAAAATATCTGTAAATGTTGCCATAAATTCTTGTGTGCTCTAGAACCACCTCTAATCATTCTAACCAGTCCCGACCATGATTACTAACTCTTCCTAATTCAAAATAACCATCAGTAACTTAAATTCTTTCTATTGGAATAAAAATTGAAACTAATTATTGTTGCTTTATAGAAATAATAGATATTATACAGTATTTCTACAAATGTTTGTTTACTTTGTTTCATCAAATAACTACAGGATGTCTTTTGGACTGTATCACGGTTAGGCAAACTGAATCTCTACCACTTGCTTCAAGCACAGTGTCTATATCATTAGCTCATCCTTTTTGCACCCTTTGAGAAGAATAGTGACGTAGCATACAGCTGATGTGGTTGCTCTTTTAGCTTGATGCCAATCAGAAAAAAATACTTCAAACATTCCAATAAAGAAGCTTATATGGCACACTTATCCACTGTCTAATCAATAGTTATATGTAAATTCTTTAAACTTTTTAAATTAGAAATTAACAGCAAAGTTTATTATAATTTTTTGTGTTACCTACAGTATACTGCAGTGATTAATTAGTAGTTAAAATTTGTTCTTTAAATTTTCTTCATACTGTTCAGTATACTGATTTAAATTACCAGAGTGATATTTAAAAAAAAAATGATTTAAAATTGCCAACCCTGGTTTGGATTAAATAGAAAATTAATTTTAATCTTATTCGTTACTCTGCTTCCCAAAATTTTTAAAGTAATATCCTGCATTTTAGATTTTTGTTATTGGTTAATTTATTTTTTTTTATTTTTTTTTTTGCAGGGTTGTGAACCATGTGGCTGTGATTTAACAGGTGCATTAAATGGAACTTGTGATGTACAAACAGGCCAGTGCTTCTGTCAAGTAGGTGTAGTAGGACAGAAGTGTGACATGTGTGAGCCATACCATTATGGCTTTTCTCGTGATGGCTGTCAACCCTGTGATTGTGACCCTATTGGATCCGCTTTCAGTGTGATGCTACTGGTCAATGTCCGGTATGTCTCACGAAATTAGTTTTTTATAGTAAGTTATGTTCTTTCCAGAATATATTGGTGTACATAGTTTTGGATATTTCATTTCTTACATTTGATTATACAGTATATAAATTTGAATATACTTAAATTCAGATATTTATAGCCTGGTCCTGTCTAGAAGGATTTATGAATATGCCCATGTAGGCTTTAGGCACAGGGCCCTGGGAGGCTCTGACCTAATGGTAGCTGGAGCAACCATCCCATGCAAGTAACTCTAACTCACAGTGAATAGACTTCTGGTCACCACCACAGTCAATAGACTTCTGGTCACCACCACGGTCAGTAGATGTCTGGTCTCAGTTTTTTGGAGAAAGGGTTAATTCTGGCTGGGTCAGATGCATGATTCAGCAGACACGAGAAAGAGATTTGGGGTCTTTGAAATGTGGTGTTGTAGGTGAATGCTAAGAATAAGCTACACTGACAGGAAAGCAAATGAAGAAGTACCTGTACAAGCAAAAACTTCAAGAGAAATTCTTGAAATGTGCAGAAAAAGGAAAGTTAGATACTTTGGTCATATAATTAGGGATAAGGGGATAATAGCAGAAATATTAATGGGCAAAGGTTAGGGTAGGAGGGCCAGAGGAAGGCAGAGACTAGGATGGATGAATGAAATTAAAAACTGGGACCCCAGAGAGATACAAAATCTTAGAGGGTTGGTAAAAATGGCCCGAGAACAGTTTAGAGAGGAAGACTGTAGTCGCCAACCCTTAGATATGAGGATGGTACTTTGATTTTTAAATGCTGGTTATTTAATGAACTTTGGGTTTTATTTATTAGGTGTATCCTTTGTAGATACTTTATTTCTTTTAAGGTAAGAGTGGAATTTTACCTTCTGATTTGCAATTGTTTATTTGTTTAACCATTAAATCAGATGTGACAAATGCATGGCTAACTAACTATCAGTCTCTTCACACTGGATTATATAAAGGTTGATAATTATTAGATTAATTATGTTTACTTGCAGTGCCGAGAAAATGTTGATGGTCGCAGATGTGATCGCTGTAGGGAGAATACTTTTGACAAACAAGCTGGTTGCATTGGTAAGTACAAGTATGTTATATGCACAAGTGACTGGACTATTGAAAAAAATTATTTTACATCTTATGTTGTACAGCAGTTTATGGTTCACTCAACTTAACACATTTGGTGTCAGAAATTTTCTATTTTTAAAACCTTGTTCAAGATTTTGCAACTGTACACTTCAGAGATCTAGATGTTGTAACCCCAGGCCCTTGGGGCCCCAACTTCTGACTAGGAGTTCACAAAAACAATATGATTCAAAAATTAGATTATCCTTCAATTTGAAACCAAGGTTCCATAGGATATCCACTTGGTAAGAAGGTTCAGTAGTATAGTTTGGGTGTCTAGTTAAAAATTAGTTTTCCCAGAAATTAGCTTTTTTTATAAGACTTTTTTATGTTTTACATGAAAATACCTCCATTCAGGCCTAATGAGAGGAAGGGACAGAAGGGGCTGCAGGCCCCAGGCCTGGGGCTCATTGAGGGACCTGGGCCCAAGCTCTGCTTTTCTTCAAACCCCACTTAATCCTATTTATAAGACCAAAGTGAAAACTTTCATCCTCACTCTTGTTGTTACATGATACACTACTGTACGTACATGGATTATTACCATAAATTGTGGGTACAGTAAAGAAAAGGTCTGCAAGGGGAAAGAACATGACCAAGAAATAGAAGACCCTGAAAGTTTACGCTTTTTCCAAAGCAATTTGTTAGGAGTTCCCCACACTTTATTTTCAGAGTCTTCCTTTCTATGGGTAATCCTTTTCTATTTGCATACACTGTACAATATGCACCAAATTTCTTTGCCTTCAGATTATCAGAAAATTATCCACATATGTTATATGGTTCTTTTCCTTGTATCCATTTAGTAATGATGACACTACCCTATAACCCAATTCTTGGTCTTGGAAGTTCTTGGTTTTTCTGTCTGTCTATACCATAAATTTAAACAGATATCCTGTAACAGAATTACAGAATGACCCAACTTTGATACCCCACTTTACACAAGGTTTGCTAGGGAGTTATATTTTAATACTACATTTGTTTCCGATTAATTATTTGTGAGAAGATTTTCCCATTATAATAAACAGGGTATTCATATGTGTTTTTGTGCTGTGTCTACACACACACACACACACACATATACAAGACAGGTAAAATAAATAATTGTCCTAAGGGCAAACACATAAAGGGAATATACATTTCTTTGTACACAAGTAAAAATGTACCCCCCTTTCCCATATGGTCAGCAAATGTTATTTGACAATTTGTGGCCATTTTGAGAACCTAACCCCATTGAATTTGAAGGGCATGCTGTACATACTTGGATAGTTGACTATTGAGTTAAGAAAATGCCACTCAAAACTCGAGAGTAGAAGGGCCATTTATCTATATTTGCTGTCAACTGATCAAACGTTTACACACTGCTTACTTCATTTTACTCTTTCATTCTGTTATTTTCGGTACCTTGTTCTTGTCTTTGGAGACAATTTCACTGAATGCATCCCCATGGGAACATGTGGCCCATTGATATTGGGGGGTGTTTCTAAACTGGAGCTTTTGTATTACTTCCCCCTTCTTGTAATGTACCTGTAGATGGATTAGGCTTATAAGAACCACCTGGCTTTAGGGCATATACTGGAAATGAAGGATTGGTCCTGAATTCTAATATTTTATTGAGGCTTTTAGCCAGGTGTCTTGAAAACTGTACAAATTTTTCTCCAATAGGTTAGTGAACTAGTCTGCTAAAACTGAACTGTAAGTGACACATCTGTTCTGAATCTTAAAGATGGCAGGCATTGTCTTGGTATGAAGCATGCTGATAGAACAGATTTTGAACTGTAAGACCTTTGTTCTCTAGAAAGCAACTGTCAAACAAAACCCTTCCCATTTTAGGGAGTGGTGTGTGAAGGGACACATGATCAATTTACTCAAAATGGGTCAATAAATCAGTCCTGGGATGAAGGTAAGGGGAGTAATGGCCCCAAGACTGAAAAAGCCACCAGTAATTATCTTGTTTTACATGAACAGCCAAGCAACAGCAAGGCTCCACAAGAAAGTAAGATTATCAGGATCAATTTTTCATGTAATGACTGTAGTAGCAAGGCTCTCACAGGTCACTTGGATCTTTTCTCATTCATAAAATGGAATTATCTACTTCAATCCTTCATTTTTGGTATTTGAATGTACAATACTGGCTGTCATATCATAATTTACTGGTGTAATTACTCCACAGACTGCCCTCCATGCTACAGTCTTGTCTTGGATAGTGTGAGCATACATCGTGAGAGATTGGCCGAGTTGGAGCGTCTTCTAGCAGACATTGTGAGCAATCCGACTGTACTTAACGATGAAGATTTTGAAGAAACTTTAGCAACAGTTATAAGTCAAGTGGAACAGCTATGGGATGATGCTCGGGAAGCAGCGCACTCTGGAGGTAAGTTTTCTATTAATTGCTTTTAAATTTACCCTGGTAAATGCTTGCAGGTTCTGCATTTGGCTTAACCCAACAGTCAATGTGTGGCACTTATTCTATTAATAATACAAATGAAGTTGATTATTTTCAGTTGCATATAAAAGACTGTAATGGATAATTGTACCTGTGCAAAACTATTTTTTTATGGAAAACAGGTAACTACATACTATTTACTTAAATCTTTATCCTTACGTTCACTTAATGATTGTAATTTGTTAATAAAACACTAGAGGAATATTAATAATAATAATAATAATAATAATAATAATAATAATAATAATAGTAATATTTATTCAATAAAATCTTCATACCATGTTTACAATTGGTTTGGCATATACCAGTATGTAGACTATGCAGGCATACAATTCAGCATGTGTATAGACATTGCATATATACATGTCCATAAACAATGGCGGTATACAGTTTCCAGTGTACCCAGACAGTGCAAGTATGCAACAATTGTAAGCATTAAGGCATTTTGACTAAGGCTAGTTTACAAAACTATCACATGCTTATTTCTAATAGGGTCCTTTGTTGAGGCTTGATTACTGTTGGGCATATTAATGTAGAAGTATAATTTGTCATATATGTACTTCAGTGTTTGTATAACTGTCTGGTAGTCCCAAGCGATCTGGTAGATTTGGTAGACACTGTTCTCTCTCTCTTGTCTATACTTTCTTTATTCCATGTACCTTGGAAGTGTTCAGGGGAAATCAAACACTCTTGTGTAGAAAAATATATCTATGCTCTGGAGACTTGGTGTACAGAGTCAAGGGAGGCCATTTACCTTAGCCGCTGCCAGTCGTTAGAGTAAGTCGCCACACCGCCAATCCATTGTGAGGTAACAAAGACCGGAGATGTTGTTAGGGCTTAGATATGTGGCAACGATTGTCTGTTATCAGCAGTTGGAAAGAAGCTGAAATCTTGACACCGCTGTGTGTAAAAACAACATCCATTTGAGCAACTAGGGTAGAGGTATATGTATATTTGCACATTACATAATCAGAAATAAATTATATACTTATTCAGTATTACTAATCAGTTATAGTATATTTACAAGAATAAAAGTGAAAGTTTTTTCTTTATAAATATAGCACGCATTACATTTCTCACACACTACTCACCAACAACATCCTTGTTTCTACACACTATTTGCCTGGCTATTCTGAATACCACTCCTCTTGCATCTGTACTATTCAACTTACCATATTTACTAATGTATCTTGTTCATGCTTCTTAGCCTTGTAAATCTCTTCTGGCCCTACATTTGGCCTCCAGGTACTACACCTTGTTACCACACCCTGTTACCACACCTTCTTCCAGGCCTTATACAATATTCTTTTCTTCTTTATTGCTGTCTACATCATCAGTCCACCACCAAGTTATGGCATGCCTGGCTGAGCCCTTTGTCCAGCCACACAACTTGTCAACTGAGCTCAACATTACATTGTTTATTTTGGCCCAGCTTCTCACTACACTACTCTCACTATCACTGGATGTTTCCAGCCTTCTCAATTCCATGTAAAATGTTTCTCTTGCATTTTGTTTCTTCTCGGAATGGACGAGTTGACAGTCGGAATATTTTCGTAAGATGGCAGGTCAATGGGTAAAGAAAATGCTTAAATTCACTATGGTAATTATATTTAAAAATAAATTGGGTCAAAATGTCAAAAATAAGGGTTAAAGTTGCTAAAAAGTCACGTGAATGCAAAAAGCTCTGTGATTGATTGTGACATCACTGGCTGGGGCGAGCCAAGGCGAGCTTCCCAGCAGGAGGCAGCAGCTGATCGGCTCTGTAAATAAATATTATTAGATAATTAATTGTGCTTTACTGTATAACACAGTAATACTATTTTGAATATATAAATATTACTAAGCACATTAACTAATTCAATGGATATTAGCTGCCCATACAACAAATTTCATAGTATAAACATTCCAAACAATATTGGTATTATTTTGTTTTTGGTCATCTTGGGAACCTTAAGATTCTAACTATTGCATTTAGTACTTTAAACAATAAGACACATTTTCTCTTCAGGATTTCTGTCGCAAAATATTTTTCGGACGCATAAGAAAATACTGTACAGATTACAGTAATACCCCGATTTACGCAGTCAATTGAACCCACAGGGTACCGCGGAAAGTGAAAACCGCAGAAAGTGAATAACAGAACATATGGGATTAATTCCACAGAGACTGGCCCGACCCCCAAACTCCACTTTTTCCGACACAATACCTATGTTGTAGTAAAAATAACATCTAAATTTTATGATGGTATGCTCACACAATATTTAAGAGAAATACAGTCGCCAGGTTAATGTCCATTCAAATAATGGACTCAAATCCCCCTCTTCCCAGCTCACTGGCCCCTACCTCTGAGAAATGATTGGGTGAAACACAAGATTTTAACGTTTAGTAATAAATAATACCTTAGACTAAAGTTAGGATAATATAATTGATATTTCTGGATTCCTGCAGGTCAGGGAATATTTTGAATGTAAACTTCATATATTTTGCACAAAAGATAAAAATACTTGCTTTGTGTAAACCAAATTATTACATTAGATCTAAAATTTTTATGTCTAATGCAAAATCCATGATGTTTATATTCAAAATGATCATCATATTGTAAGAATTCCAGCAATGTAAATTATATTCTGGCCTGGTAATTTGTATGAATTTTATGAGCTAAATAAAAAAATTATACTTCACGCCGATATGAGTAGATGCACTCATGAAAGTGAAACCAGTTCTGGCAAGGTACCGCGAGAATGAGAAATCGCGGAAAGTGAAACCGTGTAAAGCGGGGTAATACTGTATATGTTAGGTCAGGGTATGATGAGTTATAAGGTTAGCTTAACATACATCGGTAAGTGGGGAAGTAACTCAAAATTAGTGATTCACGATAGAAATGAAGTCTAAATCGTTCATAACACATCGCAAACCACCAGAAAAAAAACAGTCTGCATGTCTAAGTACAGGATGACCAAAACTTAAAATTTACCCAATTTAGCCTATCTCGAATCTAAACATCCAAATACTTATGGTAGTTAAAGTAAAATTTTACCCATTAATTAATATAAATGATGATATATCCCAGTGGTTCATTAGTGAATCATCAAAACAATAACAAGACTATTTACTTCTAAATTTACTCATATCTCCATCTAGTACTGATATACTCAGCAAATGCACTGAAAAAAAGAGAAAATGTCTACTGGGTAAGAATACATGACAGCTGAGCTGATTTGAACATGGGAGTTTTTATGTCCAAAAGAACATAGGAATAGAGAAAGCTGCAGCGAGCCTATTGGCCCATACTGGGCAGTCCCATTTACACTCAATCCCTATCGCTCATACAGTATATCCATCCAACTTATGTTTGAAGCTGCTCTTCATGGCACATTTCTTCACTTACGAAATGTCCATGACTTAGACCATAAAAAACACCCCTTAAAACTTACCTGAACGTGGCATTTGGGGTCTGAAGAGGCCATCCTTTCTACTACCTATGACTGCAGTGGTGAGTTTGAAGGTAGTGACATCATTGCAAATGGCGGCCCTGTTTCTAGAGAAATAAACCCATCTCGACTATTATAGCTGGATTTTAAACTTTTACTACAAATTATATATACCGTATCACTCACGAATGTGGCAGAGTGTATTTCTTGTGTTTACCCAGAACCATCAACTTGTCCATTATTGTAAGAATTAAGATCTACTCTTGACAACAAGCCTTTTTCACATTGAATTCACACAGAAACCCGCCACAGGAGTATCCGAATGTGGTTTAGGGTTTCAAGGCAAGTTGGTTCGAGGTTTTATTTACAATTTAATATTATTAAGTGGAATTATGCAAAATAATTTCCACTATTATTATTTTGAAAAGATTGGCTAACTAGAGAACTTCTACTTTTCATTTTCTAGGTTGGGTCTTTAATTTATTTTGATGGGTAAATGTAAAAAACTGCATGCCACATTCTAATATTGTAGTCTTTTAACAGGTGACAAGAGTGTGGCACAACACATTGTGGAGCTAGAAGAACGTATCAAAGGCGTAAAAGAAATACTTAAGGGAATACGACAGGCAGTGTGGGGCAAGTTTGGCATTGATGGGAGAGTTTAACATTACACAAGCTGAAGACATCATTCAGAGAGCTCGAGAAGCTCTTACAGTAAGTAATAATGCTGTACATGTATTTCATCTAATCAAAATGTAATAAATTTCAGATGGTAAGTTAATGTACCATGATTATTCATGGAAGGAGTATTATTGAAAATTAAATTTTTGTCAAAAAATCCTTGGAAGTTTCCAATAGACAGGTTTTTATATAATTTTTTATTTTTTATTTATTTTTTTATTTCAAGAAATTCTGGATAAAATTTCTCCATTTTGGGCATGGGAACGAATTTCCAAGAGATTGCATCATGTTTTCAATGCAAAGATGCGTGCCTGGAGCATAGGTGGGTAGGCTCAAATTGCTCGTGAGCTACGATAGGCTACTACAGTACGGTCTTGTTACTGTGTGGGATGCCTGTGATTGGTTGATGTATCTCGCAGCCTATCTCCACAAACTTGCATCATGGCACTCTTAGTTCATTGTCTGCTGTCCATTGCACAAGCTTGTTAGTTCACTCACAGCTGTTTTCACATACAATCTATGTTGTGCAGTACAGGTACTTCTTGATTTACGTGTGTTTGGTTTATGCTATTTTTAGAATAATGCATGCGGTCCATTTACACCTTTTTTTTTTTAAATTTACGTGGGTTTATGTTTGGAATAATGCGATCATTGACAAACATCATCATTGGGCTGCCATTGCAGTGGTGTTATGTTGCCAGCACCATATGAAAAGTACACATATGCATGGCGGGGGTATACAGTACATGGATACAATCTACCTGTATAGTGACTGAGTACTACAGTATTTTGTGCAGCAGTATACTGTATAGTGCACGTGTTTTGCTTCTTGCATCATGTCACTAAAGCATCCATTAAGCTCTCCTGGTACCAGTGATGCTAAAAAGCATAAGGCCATCACTATTGACATTAGGATGGATGTGTTTAAATGTTAGGTGAGGTGAATGAACAGCTGATATTACACATGCCCTTGAACTTAGTGAATCTACTTAACGGACTATTCGTGATAGTGCAGAGAAGCTCAAGGGGAGTGCCAGGAGTGGAACTTTAATCCGTGCTTCTAAGACCTTGTATTCCAGAAGTTTGATTATGGAGAGAATGGAACAAATGTTGAGCATGTGCATCGAAACACCAAACTCACTGAAGTGTTCCTGTCAGCATGCTTGTGATACAAGCAAAGGCCCGGAGTATTTTATATTTTCTGATATGTGTATACAGATAGTCCCCGGGTTACTTAATGAGTTCCGCTTGAGGACGCTTAAGTTGAATTTGAATGTAAGTCGGAAAACATGCTATGTGCATACTCTACTTACAGAACAATGTTTAAAATCCCACTATATCATAGCGTAAGTCCTTATATACATCTAAAATCACTTAATTTAAGATAAAAGAAAAAATAGAATGACAAAATACAGTGACCCCTAATTTAACGAACGCCTTGGTTAACGAAATTTCGGTTAACGAACTGCCTTCCATAAGGATCTTCAATTCCGTTAACGAACAAAAATTCGGTTAATGAATTTTCTACGAACCGACCTCAACATGTTTTCGGTTGCACTGACCGGCAACCAGCTTTAGTATCAGTCTGCCAATACATTAATCGGTTCTAGGGCTTAAATTCTTACTATTTTAGTAAATATCAAGAAGTTTATACTATTCAATAATTTTAAAAGTTTAATATTCAATTTTAGTCATTTTAACAATTATTGAACATAATTGAAGGTAAAGTGACTAGTTTAATGCGCTGCATCCAGTCTCTTAACAGCAAATAGGCGTTAGTCTCTCTCTGTTTTCACTGGAGGTAACATCTGCTTGAGACTCTTCAACTAAACGCTTTTTTTCTGTGTTTCCAAGCAAATTATTGGTCATTTTGAAATATATTTTACATATTGACAATATATAATGCAGTGCAGTGTTGATTTAAAGAAAATAATCTTGAAATACACCAAGAGAACTAAAATTTTATGGGTGAAATGGTGCCATGGGGCTACTTCTCTTCCACCCCAATGCCTTCTTCTTCCTTCCTCCACCCCCATTCTAATTCCCATCATCATCATCATCCAGGAGCCTTCTACATACACACCTCAAAGTAAGTGAACTTTTCTACCATTTTTGTTGAATTTAGGAAATTTTGGGTGAGCTGGAACCAATTACCCAAAACCCATTGAAACAATGGTTTCGGTTAACGAACGACCTTCTGGAACGGATTGAGTTCGTTAACCGAGGGGTCACTGTATAATAAAAATTTTTCCACTCCATGATTTCAAAGTTTGGTGCCTGATTTCAACTCAAGTTATCTATTGTGACTTGTGGCAACTTTTCTTTCCTTCATTGGTCCCTCCCTCCACCAGTATTGTTTGTCATCATGGCGGAAGTATCTAGCAATCCCAGTAATGTACCTTATTGAAAGACACAATAGTAATGCCTTGATAGCCTAGAAGACTTAAGTAAAATATTGTGGGAATCAGAAAGTAAAGGGGAGATTGAAGAACTGATACATTAGCTTAGTAAATTCAGAAATAACTTTTGTATAAGCTAAAGCATTAGTGACACTGACCAACTAGTCATCAGCATAGAAGAAATGCTTGGAGACCAGAAGAAAGCAAGGTCAAAGTGTTTCTCTATGTGTTGCAGAGTTTACTAGCCAAGATTATTAATGTTTGTGTATTTCACTATACAGTATCGTAGTTGTAATTCCAAGGGTACACTACTGTACCTTATTCTGTTACCTTATTCTGTTGTTGAGGAAAATTCATTTGGTCCTAAGATACTTCATGAAAATGGGATTTTCTGTAAGATATATAAAGACTTTGTGAAATCATATGATAATTCAAAAAGTCTTTGGTATTATTCTTCCACACAGAATGCTCAAATATACTTGGATGTGCAAGGAAATGATGCTCTGAACAAGGCCTTTGATCGTTCCAATCAGTTTGGGCAGCAATCTGCACTCATGTCTGATATTGCTCGAGAAGCTCGCTCTTTGGCCGATTCGTAAGTAAAAACTTTTTATGTTTAAGAAAGACCTGATGCATGTAATCGTGGTTTACAGCTTTATGGGTCATTAATAAGCAACCCATGATTTACCAGCATGTTAAAATCCTCATGACAACATACAGTAGGTGCCTATAGCCTGATAAGACATTATAGGTACAGATACTCCTCTACTTATGAACAAGTTACATTGCTGAGGTTTATTTGTAAGTTCAACCTAATCCTGTAGATACCAAACATAATAAAAAAAAATAAATAAAATGAGGAATTTTATCAAAGATGTAGAGTAACAACCTACATGGTAAGCCAAAAACTAAAAGCAAACAAACAACTCCCTATACCTCCTTTCTCAGCATTCATAAACCATATGTTAATTAAAAATTGTGCACTTCCAGCAACATTTGTTTATTACCTAGACAAAAAAATGCTGCTATAACCATTAGCCCTTATGCTCGGAGCATCGTAAGACCCGCCGACTCCCCGGTATATTTCGAAAAAATAAAATAAATACAAAAAATCCAGTATAAAAACTGATACTTCAGGTGTAAAATTAGTGCAGTCACTCCAGATGTACTGTTGTGGCTGGCATGCACATGGTCCCCTATGTTCACGGTCACCACGGCACTTACGACCATGACCTCTCTGAGGGGGTGGCTGGCAGGGTGGGGAGGGAAAGTGAGCACCATTTTCTGTATCAGTGTCCTCACCGCTGGCCACATCAACAAATTCACCATCTGGGTCCTTTTCCTCCTCATTACTGTCTTTGTCCCCCAATACAGTACTGTACTACAATATATCAGTGCCGCTCAAATCAAGCAACTCTTGATGAATAACATTACTGTCTAGGGAGTGGAGGGGTGAGGCTGGTCACAAGTCGTCAGAGGACATGCATCCATCATGATAGTTGGTGGGTAACTGGACCACTAGACTTGAGACAAATATTACGTGCGAGTTGAGTTGCTAAGTAAATAAATATCCCGTACTTCTGTATTTCATCCCGCCACGACATTCAAAATATGCTGTGAAAATTAAGAAAGCTAAGAAAAGTCACCCGGGGTCGCCTTAGTGAATGTCACCCGGGCTTTAAGGGTTAAGGAAAAGCTGAATGAAAGTTTAACACACCTGCCATTTGCATAGATAATGGCTGCATGGCCTCAAAGTTCGCCATAGCAACGGAGCCCAACTAGGATGCCGACTCTGCCAACCCTTTAGCAATGGGACTGCCACACCCTGCTTCCCACTCCCTCACTCAGTGTGTTAATTTTCACACACAAAGAAATATTTATTTCCTTTATGTTTTTTACCTTATGATAGTTACAGTACTGTGCTGTACTGTACAGTATTTCTTTTATTTTTTTTTCCACATTACATATGAGGGATTGTCAGGGGCAGATCCAGAGGGGGTGTCCTGGGGGTTTGGAGCCCCCTTTTCATCAGAAAATTCCAATACCTTTTCTTTAAAGCAGTTTTGTACTCGGGCATTTTTGTATAGTAAAAAGTAATTATTATTGACTTCAGATTATCTCCTGATATCAAGTGTGCATGGCTTCAAAATGGCCTTAACAAGCCAATGATATTGGTCTGAATTAAATTTTTTTTGGGGGTTCTTACAGCACCCCCAAAGACCCCCAGCTGAGTGGGCTTGCCATTTTCCCCCACCCACAACTTTTTGGGAACCCCCTTTGATATTCCTGGATCTGCCCCTGATTGTGTTTGTAACTAAGTGAAAAAAATAATTAAGAAAGTTAAGTACAGTATATCAATGTGAGATTAAAGAGTTGAAAAATAACCATAACTTAGCTTGGCCTGGTAAGAAGAGGCCTAGGAGGATGTGGCTACAGTGAGGAGTCTAACTTGGCAACAATGCCACCAGCGATGTTAATAGATGCAAAAAGAAAAGAAAATTATCTTTAAATTTTCATTTACATCAGGTATTTTAGATTTAAAACAGCATATGTAGTATTGTATAGTGAATGAAGTTCTGCTTTTGATGTAGCACCATAAAGAATCTAGGGGTACAGTGAGCAAACCCAGGATAAAGTAGCTAACTGGTAAGGTCAGCCTACTGCGAGCATGTACTGGGCAGTTACCATTCACTGTAAATGATTCACAGACAGTACATATAGACAGGTTTGTTCCCATCAATAAAAGTTCGTAAGTCGAATGTTCATAAGTAGAGGAGCACCTGTACCAAAGGCCAAAATACAGTATATAACTGTTAAATTATGCTTCATATCTCTTACTAACTTGTCTTTGCGCCATACATTTCATTAAATAATTTAATGACTGTAAGAAAGGAAACCCACAATGACAGACGAAATGTTTATTTCAAATTGTTTCGGTGACAACTGTCACCATTCTCAGTATAGTTTCAAACAAGGACTGGCAGTGCATGTGTGCACTCAGTTCATGATTTTTTACTCCCTGTATAACTGGGTGGCCACTTGGTCCTTGAATATCAACTATAGGCACTTGTGTATTGGGAGGGAGTGGTCAAGTTTTGGCTCCGTTAAAGTTACTGCTAATCCACTACTGTACCTGAGTTGCTGAGTTTGGGAAGAGATTACTATAATAAGGGAAGGGATTTCCTGGGTCATAGTAAATATTCTTAGGCAAGGTGACCAAGGCCAACCCAAGTATCTGACTCCATATATGTTTTATATTTTTGCTCACTGATTATTACACTGTTGAATTTGTGATTTAGTGTTTTATTACTCAAGGCCTTTTTAATACCTACTTATGAAGCCTTGGGTAAAACTCTCCTGGTGGGACCGTGTGCCTTACCATGACAGGACCGAAGACGCTATGTATTTGTTTCAGCACTGATGACTCTGACACTTCCATGTGTACATTACCAAAGATACATTGATTCTAATCGCACTGTTAGGCGAGGTCAATGTGCTGCATTGGTCTCTGTGATGATCCATCCCCTCATAAAATCCTGGATCTGCCCCTGTGCTACCATGATTCACATGTTGGAGTATCTAAATGGATCTTATAAAAATGAATCTCCTTGCCAACACACCTACTTCTCTAACTAGCCAAATGTACAGGGTGGGGCACATTCTGTGTAGGTTTCAGTCTTTTATTTCCACTTCCTCCCTTTCTCTAGCAGAATTTTGTGGGATTAAATCATGAGATTACATTTTATGGTTTAGGATGAATTGAATGACTTGATTCCCCTCCCTCCTCACAGATACATGGCTCAAATAAGACTTGATTGGGAGTTTGCATTCTGGAAACACCAGTTTCTGTTTAAATAAAGATTGAATGACATAGAGACAATGAGTTTAACCATGGTTCAAGTGACTCTTCTTCATTAATATGGATACAACCATAGTGCAGAGGGTATCTTTTCCTTTTAAGAACCAATGTGGTCTTTGTTAGGAAGAATTGCCACACTCTCTAAATCACAAATCATACACTTCATTTGCATTTGAAATGGGTCACCAAGATTCACTCACCTAAACTGTACGTATATGCAAGGCTAAACATCAAAGAGGAGTGAAGAGGTGGCATGTGTTTGTTCCATTGGCAATACCTTCCAATTATTATCCCAATATTCTTGATATGTTTAGTATGTACAAAAGTTGAAGTTCATTTTCTCTTTAACAGGCAAGAAGATAGTGCCAAGAGTATTGAGCAGGTGGCTTATGATGCACGTAACACATCCAATGAGGCTTTCTTGTTAGCACGAAAAGCAATTGATGATCAGCGAGATATAACGGACATTATCAAGGTAAGAATTTTTTTTTTTTTAATTGAGTAAGAACTTTTAAGCTAAAATCCAATAATGACAGTAATAATCATCATCACTTTTTTTATATGTAAAATTTCTACTCGTAAATGGGTTAGCTGTGATTACCTGATTTTAAATTCCGCTGTACAATCGACCCTCGTTAATTCGGACCCCTTTAATCCGGATTTCGGATAATCTCGACGAAATCTGAACTAAGCGAGGGACTTCTCCGTATCAAATTTCTGGTTCTGGGATTGTCATATAGATGGCCCGCATGCCAGACCGCCAGTCATTGTTGACTTAGCGCCATATTCGAGTATCAGTGTTGTGTTGCCCTGCAATTTTCGTTGATATTTCAGTGATTAGGGATCTTTCAGCCTTGTATTTTACATCATGTCTTCAAGGGGGAGTAATACGCTGAAGAGGAAGTATGTGACCATTTCTGTGAACCAGAAACTGGAACTTATAAGGAAGTTAGAGGCTGGTGCTTCGGTGGCTAGAGTTTGTGACGAGTATGGTGTTAAAAAGCAGACAGTTTCAGACATACGCAAGGCTAAGGACAAACTCACTGCATTTTCTTTGAAATATAATGCAATATTATGCAATATTAACCCCTTAATCGGTTAATTCGGACAATCGGCTAATACGGACACCCTTCCCCCCCCCTATTAGTCCGTTTTAACCAGGGTCGACTGTACAATCTTATACAAAATACAGTATTTTCTTGATTTAACGAACTAATTCGAGCCACCCCTTTCAGTTAAATCAAAATTTCCGCTCAATCGAGCATGATTCTGTTAAATTTTGCACAAAATGCGCCACTTGGCATGGGTTTTGTTTACATCTGCTCAGTCTGTGTCCTGCCACCACCGTGTGTGTTGCTCACTGCTACCCCTCGGTCAACTAACTACTGTGTTTAAACATCATGCTGAAAGTCTCTCAGAAGTCTCAGAAAGGAAGTGGTGTGGGGGAGAAAGTAAAAAGAGAGTGGCTATCAGTTGGAAAAAGTTTGGAATAAAAGAATTTTTTTTTAAATAAACACTGAACCCCCTAGTTTAAGGTAAGCCATGAATAATGTTTCTAATGATTCAATGTACAGTTGCCAGCAAAAATTCTCCCACAGCCCTGTGTTGCAAGTTGTGGGAGGACTTTTGCTGGCAACTGTACATATCATGTGTGTGGGGTGTCTCCATAAGTGTGAGCATATTCATGGAATTGATCTGAATTTAGCAAACTAGTTCACTAAATCGAGCGAAAAATAATGGACAAAATTCCTTCTGGTAAATCAAGAGTATACTGTATTAGGACTTTTTTCACGACCTCTCTTCAATATAATTTTTACCACCTAGCTTCCCCCATCCTTTTTCCTTCCACATTCAAACTTGGCATCTTTCTACCAAATTGGTTTTCCACAATCTCTCCAGTTCAGTTGGGTTAAGTAGAATTTAGCCTACTGGAGGCAGTAACTGGGGGATTCATTAGTCTATGGGAGACAATAACTTCACATAAAGAATGCAGGCTGATTTTATTTTATTTTTTGCTATTTTTCAGACAAAAGGTGTGGCTTAAGTGCTATAAAATTGTAGTCCGTGCTATGAATGGTGCACATGTTGAATGTATATCCTAGTGTAATTCAATGTAAATGTAATGATATGTACCTATACACTAAATGAAACTCAAATTTACTGATTATGAGCTCTGTGAATATTCCTCTGCATTATTCAAAAAAAAAATTACAAGGCTTCAAAATTGTTTCATTTCAATGTGGATATCCTGTATTAGTAGAGTGAAAATGAATTTAAGATGCTGATTTATCAATCTTCAGAGTTTGAATGGTGAAGCAATTGACCTATTATCTCTTCATGAAAAAACAACACAAGTGGCCAATGAATCAAGAACACTTGCTAAAGCCACTTACCATGAAGCACTTGCCATATCCACGGAGGCCTCTAGCATTGCCATCCCACCAATAGATGCAGCTGAACTAAAGGCTCAAGGTAAGTAAGATATCTATTTTGGGTTTGGATGTGAACCTGCAGACACTGTAGTACAGTAAAACCTCGATAAATCTGACTTCAATATATCGGAATTCACTTTTTTAGGACTCTTGAGATGCTCTGGTCACCAGAAATACTAAAAACAAAACAATAATAATGAGGAAGATTATAAAAAAAATCTTATGAAATGAACAACACTCTGAATACTGTACAGTGGTCTAATCAGATTTGTTATAGGCCTACTGAAAACTAAGACACTCGAGTATGTAAGCAGGTTGGAGCTGATCAGGTGTTGCAGCATTTGTCAGGTTTATTTACTAATTGGTTCAGTATTATATTCTCATATGATTGGCCTCTTATTGTTTATGGTTCATCATGATTAATATAACATCTTCAGTAATATAGAAAAAAATGGAACACTATGTAATTTGTAATATGACTTGAAAATCAAAGGATAAGCTGTATCAGAAGGTTATTTACTTAGATGCATTTGTGTGAGAGCTTTCAGTAGACCTGCATACAACGGGGGTCACTATAACACACTGTATATTCTTTGATATGAAGATACCTTTCTAAAATGTTATTTACTCCCTTTGAGTGTTATATGATGACTCAATTTGGCTACTTGTACACTTAGACAATATATTAATGAATAAACCAGGGTATATGCAGATACACAATATTGTACACTACAATAGTATACATGACTGTACTGGCGGGCAATTAAAAAGAAGGATAGTCTTAAGACAAACCTGAAAAAGTGCCAAAGCCACCCCTCACCTGGGACACGATTACTCCACACCGCAACACTTGGAGGAGCACTACACAAGGTGTAAATACTTTCGAATTAGCCCAACTGCATACCGAGGCAGACAGGCGCCAACGCCGGAAAGATGCTGCCACCGCCCCTCCCGCACTAGATGGAGGACTCTGCCGGTCCCGGACGACCTCTTTAGTCCCCTTAAACCTCACCAACATAGGTGACATCCTTAGCAACTTGTATCATTGTATCAGAGCTGGATGATCGTCATACTCGATTCCGAGTGACAACAAAGTAGTAGTCGTAGTGGGAGAGGTTGCAGTAGTAGTGTTAAAGGTAGTGGGAGATGTTGCAGCAGTAGTGTTGGTGGTAGTGGGAGAGGTTGCAAGAGTAGTGTTGGTGGTAGTGGGGGAGATAGCAGAAGCAGTGATTGTTGAAGTGGAAGAGGTTAAAGCAACAACCAGGGTAATGGGAAAGGTAGCATATGTGGTAATGGAAGTGGTAGCAGTAGTGGTTGTAGTAGTAAGAAAGGGTTCTAGGACAATTGCCCCCCATTGCTCAAGTGAATCTTATGTACAGCTAACCTAACCTAGGTAACCAAACCCAATTGGTTCTAGGAAAACTGTCCCCTGACTGATCCACATTTTTTTTCACTTAACAATTTTTTATCAATGTTTTTCTAATTACAGATTTGTAGTGTTAAAAAAAATTGTATGAGTTGTGCATTTTGTGTAGACAAGGACCTGGGGCTCACTAACTCACAGTAAAAAAAATAAAAATAAAAATTAATAAATAAGTAAAAAGTATAATAAGCAGCACTAAAAATAAACCAATACTAATACAAAGGTCTGAAGACCCAAGGGAGCAAAACAAAGATAATAAAACAATAGATAGGATGAAGCGATCTGGTTGAGCCCAGGTTCTTTCTACTCCTACTGTCTTTCAGTTTCCTTAATAATCTTCTTTCACCTCATGACTCCAAATTCAAAGTACATAATTATTACAATAAATAAAACATGAAAATAAAGTATTAATTCTGAGCTATTTTCTCCTCTCTATTTAGTTAGTTCCATGTTTTGTGCCAGTTAATCACTGGCAATTGTCCTGATACTGTAAGAATGGCAACAACAGTAGTGGTGGTAGTAGTTGGAGAGGTAGGGTTAATGGTAATGGTGGTAGTGGTAAGTTGAATTTTTATGCACTACTACATTATATAATATGTGCTTTTGATGGTTGAGAGAGATGTGAAATTTAATTTTTTTTATTGTACTGTATATGGGGAACCTTCCCAATAATGGACAGGGTTAGCATGAATTAGTCCGGTATTAGAAGGGTGTACTGTGCACCACTTGGTATTATTTTAAAGGAATTTGACGTAGTTTCCCATGATAATATGACAGTTCATGGTATCAAATAATGTAAATCCTACTATACTCAGACATATCCCAATCCTTAGTTTTATTTATGTTGTGAGCATTAAGTCATGTTATCTCGTTTATTACCAGTTAATTATTCACTTTATAAAACTGCTCAGCAAACATTTATAAGAAGTCCCATATCTTCCAGTTCTCTGAGGGGTTTTGCCAACCAACTCCATTGTAAGAAGAGGTTTCTGACCATCAGACGGAATTTCATCTCATGACAACTTACTGATGCTTCACCATCCCATACTCTGTGGCTCTTGGAAGGATTAGCCTTCCTTGTTTGGGTGTATTCTCAGTTGGTTCTTGATCTCATCAGGTACCCATACTAGTTTGTTGGCCATTAATGTAGGATTGAAGTACAGGTATTATATTTTTATTTTAAGCCCCAAAGGGCTATTATTAACAGTGTTAAGGACTGAAGGTTTGAGCATGAAGACCCACAATTATGGCTTTAGGGATTTTCAAGTTGCATAGATTGTTTAGAGTTTGACTTTCGACTTATTATATATGTTGGCCTTAAAGGAACCTCCCATGGGAATATCTTTAAAGGTTCTAGATGTGCTGAGTAGGAATCTTCTTCTGCAGTACAGGCATTGTTTGAGTAGTACGTACCTGCTGGTGAAATGATAGGTTTCAAGGCAATTGAGCAGTTTGCTCTGGAGCATTCAATGGAATGGATCTTATTGTTCACTAACATCAGCTGATGGCAATGAAATGGTTTTTCATACTTCAAATTCTCTATTTTATTTAATGATTTTTTGGGGGGCATAATCATAACTTTTTTACAGTACAGTTTATACTTTTATTTTGGCTTGCTAATAGTGAGTGAAATAAACTATAGTAACAATAACCATCTTACTTACATGATCTTTTGTCCTTTAAGCTGCTGCCATCACCCGTGAAGCTGAGCGTCTTAAGGCTGAGACACAGGAGCTGATGGAAAGTCGTAGTAATTTGCTTGTGGATGTTGAGGCTCAGCTTACAGAAACTTCAGAGTTGGTGCAGCGGGGCTGACACACAACAACAGATTACATCCGAGCTCTTGGCAGACACATTTACAGCAGAAGGCCAAGCCAAGGATGCTATCAAGAAAGCAGAAAAGACTCTCAAAGAAGCTAAAGAGACACTTACAGTACTTGAAGGTAATTTTCTTTTATGAATCGCCAAATCCGCGAATTACATTTGCTGACCTGGGGAAGGGGGGGTTACATCTTTACCTGTGTACAAAGAAATGTATATTCCCTTATGTGTTTGCCTTTAGGACAATGATTTGTTTTACCTATATTGTATATACAGGAGGTCCTCCCTTAACGCCGTGGTCCCGTTCCTGAAAACCGCAGCATTAACGGAATCAATTTTCCCCATAAAAAATACAGTAGATAAAATACGTGAGTTACGTTCCCCAGCCTCCCTTTGCCCCATAAAATACATTACATATACAGAAATTCAATTGAATTTTTATAGGAAATAGTATATATTATACATCCGAAAAGATAAATAAACTAAATTATTTTGTATTGTATTCACTGATGGGCGGAGGTGGAGCGAATGTGTGGAGGGTAGTGGAGAGGAGGAGGAGGGTGGCGAGCCACATTATACTGAATCTACGGACGTTGTCCAAATCATGGGTATCTAAAGAATAGCGACGTTATAACGAAACAACGTTATCGTGGGCAACGTTAAACAAGGACTTACTTGTGCAAGTGTGTAGACACAAACGAAACACATAAGTAAATAATACTGGGAAATTTTCACAAATAATCAGAAATTTTTTTTTAAAAATGTTGAGCCAACCCTCAAGTCTACTCCATGCTCTATTAATAACAAAGCACGGAATGGAGTTGAGGGTAGACTCAACATTTTTAATATTTTTTCTGATTATTTGTGAGGGGATTTTCCCATTACACCTGTATTATTTATTTATACGTGTTTGTGTGTGTGTGTGTTTATGCTATACACACACACACACACACACACTACAGTACCCGGTAAGTTCTCAAATTTCGAAGTTTTAAATTCAACGTTTTTTTATTTGGACAAAAAAAAAAAAACTCCACAATTTAAAAGTTTTACTGGTTTAAGTGTGCAAAATGAACAATACAATTCATTAATAATACGGAGAATATTATAACACACGAGGAGACGAGACGGCATTGTTTTCGTTAATGTTTACAAAACCAGTGACTGACTGGTTCTACATATAAAACTAAAGGAAATAAAACCCTGGTTGTAGCTGTAGTAAATGAATGTAAAAAAATTAATATGGTTGTTTTAAGTAGTACAGTAATGTTATTTAATGTTAATAAATGGAGCAATAGAAGTAGCTAACCTTTAATGGTAAAGAAAAAAGTGAGTGCACGTAAACCGTTAATTATTATTATTACATGTGAAAGCATTTCATCATTACTCTACATAAGAATATAGAAGCAACACTTATTTACTGTTCATACATGTTTTAATTAATGTTTCTGAATTTAAAACAAAATTTCTACTCACCAGTGGTGGTAAAGTTGAAAACATAAGGACAGCCAATGTTGTTGTGTGTGTTTTTACTCGGATGACGAAGTTGCCAAGTCATCAGGTTCAACTCTAGCTGAAGCTGTAGAACACAAGAACGTTTTCTGTGTTGTTTTTATTTTTTATTTAACTTTATGTGTTATTTTCGTTGGTTTATTAGGATGATGCTTTATTACAGATAGTAATTCGCCAAAAAAGTAGGGTAAATAATGCAAAATTTAGTCAAACATCGAAAGTACCAGACTCAAATTATTTTTTCTCCATAGGAAGTTGAATTTTTTACTTGGACGATTTGAATTTCATGAGGTTTTACAGTCTAAATAGGTGTCCAAATATGAGAGCTTACTGTACAGGTAAAGGAAATTACTCTCTAGAACGAATGGCTCCCTGTCCTGGCCATGAAAATGACGGCAATATTAAAACTACCCACAGACATTCTTGGGTACATCCAAGGTGTCATCCATGAATAATAGAGGACCGCGAAATAAAAATCTGCGAATTATCTGGGCGTACTGTTATCATATTGACGACTGTATTTATCCAATTTACATATATGCACTAACATGAGTTCTATTTGTGAGATTTTAAGGAACCATTACATGTGTACAGGCAGAACCCAATTTACAAATTCTCAATTTACAAATTTTCTAAACTGTGAAGAAAAAAAATCTCCTGTTTTGTTCTACTGTATAAATTTCAGCTACATTAGAACTATTCTCAGTTGTTTTCTGGAAATGGCATGTGCATTTTTTTTTTTTTTATTATTTTATATAAAGGTTGAACCTCACTAGTCTGGCAAGCTTGGGACCACACCAGTGCCAGACTGTGGAAAATTCCGAGGCTTAGGTTAAAAAAGGAAATAACGTGAATAGTGTACTGTACTACAAAAATATACTGTACATGTGGGCCGTTAAGTCGCCACAGATAGCTACTTTTGCCATGTCATAAGAACTCTACCACACCCACATTAACAGGATCACAGTGAAAAAAATAATTTTATTATCATTACATAGAATAATAGAAACCATAAAATAGCTGAACAAACACATCAACAAAGCATGGAGAGCAAACAACAGGTTGAAAAGCAGGTTCAAACACCAGGGTGGTAAATACCTAGTACAGTACCCTGTACTGCACTCCCTAATAATAATAAATGAGTTTGTTATAAATGGTTTCGCAGTTAAACGATTAATTTAGTAACACCAAAATTCTATATAAACAATGTGGATCAGAGTTAAACAATTTAGTGAACAAAAATTGAGCCTAATTCAAACAAATATCAAATTGCATAATTCAAAGATGAACAGATTTTGCTATGATAAATAATAAAATTTATGCATAATATATAAAAAAAAACAGTAGCAATCATCAGCTGACTCCGAGATTTGTGTGGGTATGTGCAGTGGCAGCTTGTGGTAAAATGTATTAGAGGGACTGCAAATTTCACATAACAATGGCAGAAAATTACATAAATTTGGCTTACTTCGGGTGTTCTGTGTACAATATGTATGTGTTGATGTTGCCTATGGATTCTCAGGGTATTACTTGAAAATAAAATCAATGTGATGGCTCTTTGATGGAGCAAAGTGGTTCATTACTTTTCATTAAAGTCCTTCATTTCTGTTATTTTATTTTCAATGGATGTCATTGCAGACAGTCTGTTATTCACCATGGTGTTCTGCAACTCCACACCAAGCATGTCAAACACTGGGGCGTACGTGCAGCCCCAAGTTAACCATACGATGCCAGTGTCAAATGGAAATGAAACATGCAGTTACTATGAATGTCACTTGATTTTTTTACGGTTTTGTAATGAAAATGTAGTTAGTAAATGATGAAAAAAACATTCAATTAATTCTTTACGAAATTTGTTTGTCGGTGCATTATTCGTCTTCATGTGAAGAGGAATCATATGTCTGGCAGTGAGTGACAGAGGGGACTACAGCTCTGCAGCATGGATAAGCTGCCACTGTGTGTGGTGGGCTGGCGTGTCAGTAACACAGTTACCCACTGCCTCCACATATATGATCAATTACCACACAGACACACCCATGCTCTTCATTTTTCTTATTTTATACCCTGTAGTTTTATATTCTCTTTGTCTGAGCCACATTAGAATATTGAAATGATTTTTCCACAACTTTTTTAGTTTCATTACATGTCTTTGGAATGGAAATTTGTATCTTAAACTTGACCTTCAGCCAATTATAAGGACTTTTTTAAGGGGAAAAAATGTGTGTCTTATGGGCTGGGAAACATGGTAGATATCTTCCCTTCTTTAGCCCCTTGGGTACAAGGGTCTCTCTTTGCTGAAGGAAATTGTCTGGCATGAGCTAAATAAAATACTGGAAGTGGCATTTTGGAGTGAAGGTATTAAAGGGATAGATTCTAGAACAGCCAAAAACAAAAACCTCTTACTACAGCACATATAAACATCAATATGTCTTAGAGGTTTATGAGAGGTGTAGGAATGCCTTTTCGTATTAAACAGCTAACCATGGATATAACTGGGCAAGTAACTGTCTTTATAACCCCTAAAATACCTACAAATAAATTGCTTGTCTAATTAGTTCAATCCTATTTTGTTACAATACAGTTTTATGCATTATTCTTTCAGGGTTTGATAAGCAAGTCCAGGAGAGTCGTGGTGAGGCAGAGGATGCTCTGATCCGTGTTGCAGAAATTGAAAAACTCATTGTTGAGGCAGAGGCACGTACTCGTGATGCTGAAGATGCACTTATGGGAGCTGAATCAGATGCAAAAAATGCACGTGATATTGCTAAGGAAGCACAAAAGACTGCAAATGATGCCAGTGAACAAGCTGGTGATGTGCGTCTTAAAGCAGATGCTACCAAAGTTGAAGCTAGCTCTCTCAAGGATGAAGCAGACCAACTGGCCAGTAGAGTAGCAGGGACCGACTCTCAGGTCAGCACATATGAGGAACAAGCAGAAGAAGATTATCAGCAGGTCATGGAGGCCCAGGAGAAAGCTAACCAAGCTAAAGATCGAGCAGATGATGCTAGTGCTAGGGTGCGTGAGGCCTATGAGGTGGTGCAAGAGATTTTAGATATACTGGAACGTTCGCCAGATCTTGATCCTTCAGAGTTGGACCTTCTAGAACAACGCTTGGAGGAGGCCTGGCAGACGTACTACCAAAGTGGTGTAGAGACTACAGTTACAGAGCTCACAGAAGCTCGTAGTTGGCAAAAACGTCAAATCACACTGTATGAAAAGGAGATTAGGCAACTCCAAATAGAGGTTATTAATATAGAAGAGATTAAGATTTCCCTTCCTGAAGGTTGTTACAGTCAAACTAAACTAGAAGCTTAAATTCAGTAGTTTGACAGGAATATAGTACAGTACAGGTATAAGAATTCAAATCATTGCATGAAAAAAAAAAGTGTGACTATTTTTACCAGTAGATCTTAATAACAATATTTGTATGGTTTTGATACTAATTGATTTTTCAGTAACTAGTGTAGCATGACTGCCAAGTGCTCTTTTCACTCGTTTTATCCACCATTTCTTGATTTCTTTAAGCTGGGCAGTGGAGGGTTCTTATGTTCTACCTTCAGTTGATTTAATTCATAACCTTCAATTTATAGACATTGTAAAATGGTTTCCAGAAAATAGCTGACTAGTACTTCAGTATTTTGATATAATCATTATTCAGTAGTATGATATAAGGTGTAAAATCACATGTTCTCTTTAGGTGCTGCTATATTTTATGTGAATGATGATTGTGTCAAAAGTAAATTTAGATTAGTGTATTGTAATAATAGTTATGTAAACATGACAGGTTAGGTACATTAATATATTTTTTTAGTGTTTAATCTATCTATATGTAACAAAAGTCTTGATGTACTGTATTGTTTACTTGTAATTTATATAATATTTGATATGAATAGGAGCATTGAATTATGAATTGGTACTTTAATTTTATTTTAATGAAAGTAGAGTAATGCATTTTTTTAAAGATCCCTCTTTACCTCCTCCATTCAACAGACAAGTGTGATGGCATAAGCATTGCTATAGTATGTCAAGTTATCGTACAAATTTGTTTCATAGGTATGCTGTTTTCTGCCCAGTCTTTTACAAACAGTTATCTCAGTTATTAGACTGTGGCCACAAGTTACTCTGTAGATATTACCAAAGATGTTAAAAAGAAAGAAAAGTGCTTTGTTTTGCAGATAATTGTTTAATGTCATTGAAGTACCTTATAATGTTGATTAATTTGTGCCAATCTAGTTGTAGTAAAAGTTTTAATTTTTCTTATTTTTTTTGTGTATCCATTTGCATGAAAAGTTACTCTTTCAGTGTTGTTGTCATACCTTTCTTTAAATAGCATTAAATTAATTATCTATCTGGTATACTCTGATTTCACATATCTAAACATTACATAAATATTATTGTACAGCCCAACTTCTTAAGTAAACCTGTTACACAAAAATTACCCCACACTGTACACTGTACCTACAAAAGAGAACTGCTTGAAAGTAAAGTGGAGCAACATTACATAGTTGAGCTCCGAGTTGGAAGCTTGAATGTTGGTACTATGTGGGGAAGACTGGGTGAGGTTATTGACTGAGCCAGAGGAAGGTGGTTGTATGTTGTGCACAAAAAACTTGGTGGAAAGGAGGACCAATCAAGTTGACTACTGGTAAGAATGACAGGTACAAAATGTTTTGGATGGGTGGTGATTTTAAGTTAGGTGGTGTGGGCATGGGTGTCTGCAGAATTTTTTTCCAGAGGGCTGGGGGACTGGGGTAAATATCAAAATCAAGGAATGAAGGACATGCTTACCAAGTTATGCCATTACAGTCAATAGGAAAGGCATAGGGTAGATACACCACTATGCGTGATAAAGCATGGGGACAAAGCCAAGCCTTTGGCGCCAAAGTTGAAGCCATTGGAGTGCCAAGAAGCCAAAGCCAGACATTAAAAAAGTTTCGAAGCTGAAGCCAAGGTTTTTTTAAGGCTTCAAGAAACCTTAACACCATTATTTATATAATATACTGTACTGTATTACCTTATGTTGAAGGGAATATTTATGGTATTCTAAGTTGCAGCAAGGCTTTGAGATAAGCTGACTATATAACCCCTACTCCCTGGGCTAGGGTACTGCTCGCCAGAGCTGTCCCTATGGTGATGCACGGCCCCTTTATATATATATATATATATATATATATATATATATATATATATATATATATATATATATATATATATATATATATATATATATATATATATATATATATATATATATATATATATATATATGTATGTGTGTATGTATGTATGTAATTAATTAATTATTACTATTATTATAAAAGAGGTTGAAATTTGTTTTTATTTTTATAGTTACAGTGGTCCCTTGGTTAACGAACACAATTTGTTCCAGAAGGTCGTTCGTTAACCGAAAATTTCGTTAACTGAATCCATTGTTTCAATGGGTAATTGGTTCCAGCTCACCGAAAAATACGTACAAAGTAAAAAAAAAAATGCAGTAAAGTACACTTACTTTGAGGTGTGTATGTAGAAGGCTCCTGGTTGATGATGATGGTGGTAATTAGAAGTGGGGGTGGAGGAGAAGGGAGAAGAGAAGGAAGTGAGGATGGAGGAAACATCACATTCTAGGGGACCCATGCTTGATGCAGTCATTTCACCAATAAAATTTTAAGTTCACTAGGTCTAATTCAAGATTATTTTCTTTAAATCAACACTGCACTGTGCTATATATTGTCAATATGTTAAATAAATTTCAGAATGACCAATAATTGTACTGTAAAAACGTAAAATACTCTGTGTTCAAGAGAGCCACAAGCAAGATGTTTCCTTCACTGAACAGAACACAAACTGACGCCATGGTGGGTGAGTGAAGTGGCTGATGGGCGCACCAAAAACTAGTTCCCTGTACAGTATAGTCTGCATTTACGCGGTCATTTGAACCCGTGGAGGTCCGTGTAGAACGAGAAACGCTTGAACGAAATAACAGAACATATGGGATTAATTGAAAGAGAGACTGGGCCGACCCCCAAACTACACTTTTTCCGACACAATACGTATGTTGTAGTAAAAATAATATCGTAATTTTATGATGGTATGCACACACAATTAATATTTAAGAGAAATACCAATAATATTAGGTTTTTTAACACTTACGTTAGTAGAAAAGATGGCTGGGCACACGGGGATGGGGGATTGGTTCCGAGGCAGAGGGCAGATTATTGGCCCTCACCTGTAGCACTTGTATCAATTGTATCACTATCCACCACAGAGGCTTGTAGGGCCTCTTTGTCAAACCCCTCAAAGTCCATATCCTCACTATCACTGACTTGGGCTGGCTGTAGTGGGTGGCGGGTGAAGAACTCGGTAATGTTTTGATGACTGGGTGACCTTGTGCGCACCCTGCCCGCGCCGCTTCCCGCGTAAATGAAGAAATTTACTGCGTAATTAAAACATTTCATTCTGGCAAGGCACCGCGTAAATGACCAAACGCGTAAACAAAATCCGCATAAATCCAGACTATACTGTACTGCAATTATGTTAAATAAGTGTTAAAATGACTAATAATTTTAATATAGAACTTGGAAAAATATTGAATAACACAACCTTGATATTTACTCCAATGGAAATGAATATAAGCCGTAGAATCGATAACTGTATTGGCGGACTAATCTTCCAGCTGGCGAGCAAGCCAAAACATGTTTACACGTTTTCGTAAGAATTTCGTTAACCGATTTTTTTTTTTTTTGCTAACAGAAATGAAGATTCTTATGGAAGGTAATTCGTTAACCGAGGCGTTCGTTAACCGAGGGACCACTGTATATACATACAGTACATACTGTAATATACATATTGTTAATTCCCCAATCATACTACGTATTACTATGGCAAGTACCGTATTATCTAATTTACTATGTTATAACATCTCTCATATATTTCCCAATTTGGCAATCTTCGCATGTAAAAGTCTTCTGAAAAGTATAGGATTTCAACATTTTTTGGAAACACATACCTTAACAGGTCCCTTTTCTACCAAAATATCAATTGTTGTAGTGTCCAGTAAATGTGGCCAGTTGGCTGAATCACCTTGATCTTCTTCAGCATGTCTGTTAGCATAGGTAGAACTGTCCATTTTAAAAGCCTTCGCATTTTTTCAGTACTCTCCTCTTCCTCAGCTTGAATATGACCCACACTATCACCATCACAGTTGCTCAGGTCCTTTTTTGCACTAGTTTCTGGTGTTTCTGAAAACATATTTTTCTAGGGAACCTTTCATTGACATTTTGATTTCTTCTCTTTTCCTTTTTTTCTGCCTTTTCTCTGCACCCAAGATGTATTTTCTGAACAGTATTTGTCTCTCTCCCTGCTGGCCATGGTATAATAAAATATGAGGGCTGTGTACGATAGTAAAATAATATATATCAACAATTTCACCAAACACAAATCAAGGACAACTGGAGATTCAGAGTTTCAACAACACCGACTGGTGACCACTGTCAACGTCCTCACTCCTCTTTGACAGAGAGCATATTAAAGAATGACATTGTTCTCAGTCTGGGTGGTAAGATGGGAAGGCTTAATCTTACCTTTGACCTCATGTCAGCAGATACACTGCCTAACTGTGCTAGTCACTTATCCTTCAGGTGGTCTCCTGAATCTGGGTGGTAAGGTGAGGTCACCTTAACGCAGTCACTAATTCTGGTGTTGGGTGAGGTAAGGGCCGCCGGGCCCCCACTAGAGTGGGGCCCGGGGAGGTTGCACCGGTTGCCATTCCTTTGGGAGAGGCTCTGCCGCTGGCCGTATCCCCCACGTGGGGTAAATCGAGAAAAATCAACTTTTAACAAAAATAATGTTTAACCTTTTTAAATGAGAAAACAATAATAAAATAAGTAAGAAAAACTATATATTGACCCTCTAGAAACTTCCCTGGGGCTGCAGTGGAGAGGAAGATAAGGGGACAGTGTTGTTTTGACGGATAGCGTTCGCGGTCACTACGCACTTAGCGGTCATTTTCTGCTTGCCTTTGTGTCTGGGATGGCCAGTAATGCATATATTTACTGATCATGATACTTATTTCCTATAAATAATTCATTTATAATTTATTTTATTTGCATTATTTTTCATAAAAAGTGCTCGGCGACACACACACACAGTCTGCTGTCTGGCTGACCTTGTGTTTGGAAGAGCAAGTAATGCATATAAATAATGATTGGAAAAATAATTCCACAAATAAATAAATACATTTAAAACATAATCATAACATTATATTCCAGTAATACTACACTACAATACAACTACAGTAAACTACTTTTAGCATATTACTTTGATACAACATGATAAAATGGACAAACAATGGAAATGAAACTAACAAAAGTAGGTACTGTACTGTACTTACATTCAGGAAGCTCCCCTGTGGCCGAGCTTGTGGCGTGACAGGCATGTAGTCACGCTGGAGCCTGATAACCCGTGCTGGGTATTCAAACAATGCCGTGAAAAGGCGTACGTTCTGGAACATAAACCGGGGCGTAGGGGTTAAGCGGACTGTTTTTGGGTTAAGTTTTGACTCTATAGGCTGAAAATGGTTACTTATAGTAACAATTTATCTTAAATTTATTTTATCCACAATACATAAACATAGTAATTTAGTCATAAATTACAGAGAAGCATTGAAACAAATCATTATAAGATTTTCAAAGGTATAAAGTGAGCTAATGTCAGGTCACAACCATTTGGTATATTTGATCTCTTCCGACATTTAGGTCAGGTCCTTGTGAGAATAGATCAGTATGCATAACTTGTGATGATCGTGTGGATCTCAGTTCAAGTAAGGTAAGATCAAGATCACATGAACAACTCGCATTTGACCTGACCTATCCTAAAGTTTACCGTCTCTGGCACAACCTGGGGTGGAGATGCTGACCTAAATGACTTTTGACAATATGTTCTCGTGTTGGCACTGGTCACTGACATGCTGGCCTGTAATTTCATATACCTTTTTTAATAAGATCAAAATACAATATTTTGCAGTTACCTAAATAAGAAATTTTCACACAATTTGCTTTTTGTAGTGTAATTTTAGAAATTGCAGGTTGTTTAATTGTATTTCTTGAGAACTAGTATGACATTTGGCTAGTTAGCTACGGTAACTGCACAATTCATCTACGTCAGAGACGTGGCCAATCGCCCAAGCGGCTAACGAGCCGATCACTGGTGAAGAGGATAAAAGTAAAAGTAAACAAATTCACGCCTAGGTGGCCCTTGGTCCGACCATCCTCATTACACGTGGGTCAACCATTATCTTATCTATCTATGCATTTATTAGATATCACTCTTCACTCAAAAACCAGCCCCAAAATCCGCCCACTTGAGTTAAGAAATTTTATAGGATTACACAAACTGTCATCCCAATGAGTTATCTGAGTTACCTCGAATCATTCCAGCTTGATACTATTGCCAATTTATATATAGATTGAATGTTTTCTCTTTATTTTGCTATTTTAAAGCATGAATCAATCAATTCTGTACATTCCTTCATTGAGATTGACTGAAATAATAAGCTTATAAAAGGATTTGACTTCGGTGGTGCATTTAAGAAAAATGCCATGGGTCTGACAAAAAAGCAAAATAAAAATACGTATTGCATAAAATCCTAAATAAATGATCCATCCGTCCACAATTTTGTTGATGCTTAAGTCCTTTATGTGGTGAATCTGCTTCAGAGCCAGCGCTTGTAATCACCTACTCCAACTTCCATCCTCCCCCCTTCCATAATCAGGTGTCAATGGCAGTAACCTTTGTCATGTCTATCACCTTACAAATACAGCCTCTCAGCTTGATGGTTCCTTTCCTTTGAAATGTTGACAACTTGATGCCTTCACCTGACATAGGTCACTGATGACAAGCTGCCTGTTTATGTGTTTTACCACCAAGCAGGAATAAGGGGACACAAAGGTAGGGGTCGAGTTGGTCACGAGTTGACTCTTGACCTGATTTGATATCAGTCCTTTTTTTTACGGGGAATAGCCTGTAGTGGATTTCTCCCCTACAAACGCTGTTTGTCGCTGAGTAGCCGACCCCACCAATTCCCCAGTGTATGCCTCGTGGTCTAGGTCAACCAGCTCTCTCTACATCACGCTTGTAACCATGCTGCCTTCCCAGCACCAAGCTACATTGTACATCCAATACAACATGTATATAGAGAGCACATTGTGAGTTTCCTTTCTCCATTCCATCCTGAGTGTGAACCAAACATCCCATACACCACAACTGGTGACCCCCGGAGATTCGCACTCACACAGGATGGAGGAGAAACTGATCACGCTCCCAGTCTTCAAGCAACATGGAAGACTGGCTTATCCACACAGAAGCAGCTCTCATCGGCTCTACAGCTACTGTCTCTACACCGCAGGTTAGACACCCTAGAGCAGCACTGCTTCTCTAAGCAGACAGCCGCTCTTCTTCCGACCCCAGCACACCCATCCTGCCTCAGACGCCAACCCCGGCCCAGCAGTAACCCCTGCCGCCCCTGATGCAGCCCCTGCTCCTGACGCGGACCAACACACCCGTCCTGCCTCAGACGCCGACCCTGGCCCAGCAGTACCCCCTGCCGCTTCTCCTGACGCTGCCCCTGTTCCTGAGTGCGGACCCACACACCCCTCTTTTCTCCCTCAGGTACTCCCTGCTAATGTCCTGCACCCTGCTGCTGTCGTGGATCCAGCTGCTGTCACGAGCCCTCATCCGCTTCTGCTGACACAGCCCCTGCTCCTGACCCAGGCCCACACACCCCAGCAGGCACATCTGACGACTCTGTACCTGCCGTGAGGGAAGAACAAAATTCATCGCCTCCACACACCCTTTTTCTCCCTCTTTACTCTCACAGATACTGTGTATCTAGACAGTTGTGTCCAGCGACCGGCTCATCCATGCCATCGCCGTTGTCTCACATGAGGCATGCACCGCCCGTTCTGCCTCATATGTGCTATGCAACCCTGCAGACAACAAGTCTCCTACACCGCCTGGAGGGAAGGGGGAGTATTGTAGTGGATTTTTCCCCTACAAACGCTGTTTGTCGCTGAGAAGCCGACCCCACCAATTCCCCAGTGTATGCCTCGTGGTCTAGGTCAACCAGCGCCGCCATACATCACGGAGCGGGGGTCAACTTCTAAGCCACGCCTACCCCCCGCTATTTAAGACCTGACCTCGTGGTGACCTGCCTCTTTCTACCTACACCAACCAGCCAGCAACACCTCCTCCTCCGCCTGCCTGGCGGTCCTCGCTCCCGCCGGCGAGCATGGCGACCCACAAGCTGGTCCTCCTCTGAGCACCCTCACCAACCAGCTCTCTCTACATCACGCTTGTAACCATGCTGCCTTCTCAGCACCAAGCTGCATTGTACATCCAATACAACATGTATACAGAGAGCACATTGTGAGTTTGTAGTGGACGTCTCCCCTACAAACTGCGTATCGCATTCCAATGTGCGGCCTTCCCTAGCAACCAACCAGATGTTACCGTATCTTAGCAACGGAACCAGTCACCGGCGACTTTCTGGGTTTTCCCAACATGACTCATAGCGGCTGCTGCTGGGTATATAAGCTCTGTCTCTCCATTGAGATTCATTCTGACCATTCTTCTTGAACAAGCAACACCTCCTCCTCTGCCGCTGCCTGGCGGCCTTCGGTTCTCCTCGCCTGCCTGGTGGTCCTCGCTCCCGCCAGCGAGCATGGCGACCCACCAGCTGTCCTTCTCTGAGCTTCCTCACCAACCAACTCTCATTCTGGCCCATCTTCCTGAACACGCAACACCTCCTCCCAGCAAGCTCCTAGCTGTCCAGCATTCATTCAACCAGGAGGCCAGCAACAGGCAACATCTTCTCTAACGAAGCTCCTGCACATCTACCTCCTTCAACAAGCTACTCACCGAACGTCTCTACTGACCAGCTCCTCACCACACGGCACCTCCAGCACCAGACTGTCTATCATATAACTTATATATTATACAAGAAAACCACATTAGAGTTTCCTTCCATCCTGAGTGCTAGACAACATTAATATCTCGATACCCCTACAAGTTTCCTTTCTCCATCCCATCCTGAGTGAGAACACAAATAATTCATACCCCACAGAAGTATCCTGCCCCAGCAAGTGCGGACCCCAGTTCGGGGGGCGCGCCACTCCGAAACTGACCACGTCCAACAGTGGAGGTTGGTGGTAAGCCTTCACTGACCGAGGGTCCGCTCACACTTGCAAACCTGTATTATCCTTTCACATCTGCAAGTAGGACAACCTCCATCCCAAATCCGGTCTGGCTGCTCCAAGTGCTCCAACCGGAACCACCAAACGTGCCGCCAACAACTGTTTTGTAGAACTCACCGCTGATTGGCTGGCAAGTGACAAATCGGCAGTTGTAGGGGAGAGTATCCATTAGACACTACACTACCAAATCCCCTTAAATCCACAACTGTAGTACACTGATTTACGTAATATCATACACAAATTATAGCATTAAGCTTTGCAAAATTCATAATTATAACAAATAAATTTATTATCAGTGATTATATGAGTTAATGACAATAACAATGTTTCCACACCCAACACATAATTTGTCTCAATAATTTTGTGTGTAGTGTACTGAGGTTTGAAAATGGTAGTTATGCAGATTCTGACCAGGACAAAGCTGAGGCATTGAACAGAGAGAGAATCCGATTAATTTTCCTGCGTTTGAGGACAGACGGTTCGACACAGCACTGACCCACATTGTGTTCACAGAAGTTATTAGAAATGAACTAACAACGCTAAAGGTTCATAAGAGTCCCGGCCCTTACACGATGCATCCCAGTGAAATAGTCTGGGGTGCCTACTCTTCAGGTGGTCCCCGGGTTTAAAACGCCCGCTATTTTTATTGGTCCTCGAGGCCGGGAAATAACAAATGATTAAGTCTACCACGGTGTAACAAATGATGGTTAACTTTATGATTTAGTGTTTTAGCGTTTAAATAATCTTTAAAATTCCTCAACTCATCACTGCTGTGTATGAATATAATTAAAATTACTTATTTATCGATAAAAACAAGTTTATACAGTAAAATACAGTATTTAGCTAATGTGCGGCCGACTCAGCTCGCTGATTACGGCCGGTGGCATGATGAACGTGCAGGGCCTACGATTACTAAACCAGTAAGCCCTATTGTTCGTTTAATTTGAAGTAACCTGTAGAGGACAAAATGTTTTATGTTTCATAGAGTAGCTTTATAATTTTTACTTGGTGATCACTTTCAATTCAACTATCAACCTTCCTTGGACTTGGGACTTTACATTTCCTTCAGAAAATATCCATACGATGTTTTTTTGGCTGTCCATAGTCGAGTGGAGGAACTGTTAACTATTGTCATCCTGGGTGAAGGTGGAGGAGACGGTTATTACCAGAGTTGGTCAATTTTCACTTGTTGCCATTATACGAAATTCAAGTTGAAACTTTTTTGTTTTGTTTTTGTGTGTTATGAATGAATTTGACCTTCATTTCTGTCAAATCAAGGTAAAGGACCTTTACCATGAAGAGGGTGGCCACCAGAAGGAATTGTCCGAATTGGTAGATATTTTTTCTACACAGTAATATCATGATAAAAAATGGAAATGACAATGCATATAACCTAATAGAACCTGACCTAACTATTAGGTTCTATGCACTATCGTGTTAATTTATGAGTTAAACAACTTGCCTTAATATTGAGGGTAATATACGTCAGGAGGAATACGTGGAAGCGTTCACCATTATTTAGGAAACGTCTTGAAGGATTCAGCGTTTGATATCATGATATTAGTGTGTAAAAAAAAATCAACCAATCCGGACAATTCCTTCTGGTGGTCACCCTCTTCTATACCTTTACCAAAATCATCCATAGTTTTTGGGATAAGCGCCCCCAGCCCTATCTCAGAATCTAGAGATTTGCGATAAAAATCAAGGTTAAAAGTGTTCCAAACACATCCAAAATCACCATGGTTGGATAATATAGGTAGTGTTAGGTGGAATGTAGACTACCATACCTTAACATCAGGGTGCATGTTGTCCAGGTGTGGTGGGTGTCCCGGAGCATTATCCAAAATTAACAAAATCTTGAATGCAATCCCCTGTTGCAGACAATACTCCTTGGCTCGTAGAATGAAACAAGTGATGAACCAATCCTCCAACAGTACTAGGGTCATCCATGCTTTCTTGTTACTGCGATAAAACACTGGCAGTGTGTGCTTGCTGACATGTTTAAAAGCCCTGGGGTTCTCTGAATGATGTATCATGAAGAGCTTTATCTTGAAACCAGCTACATTCCCCCTCAACAGAAATGTAATTCGGTCCTTGAATGCCTTGAATCCCAGCATTGTTTCTGCCTCTTTGTGGCTGTATGTCTGTTAAGGCATGCGCTTCCATAACAAGCCGGTTTCATCCATATTAAATATTTGCTCAGGCAAAAAATTTCCCTCCACGATGACACGATCTAGCTCCTCCTTAAATGCTTCGGCAGCACCTACATCAGCACTTGCTGCCTCTCCACTCACCTTTACACTGTGCAAACTGTCGCGGTTCTTAAACCTTTGGAACCACCCATGTGCTGTGAAGGTTTGGTTGCTCTCATCTCCTGCCTGCTCCTTCAGGCTTTCGAAAAGGCTTCTTGCCTTAGCTTGTAGGGTTAGAAGGCTTAAGGGTACACGCTTTGTATCTGGTCTTCCATCCATATCACAAGTAATTTTTTCATCTCATGAATGGGACCTTGTCTTTTCTTCGTTGTTATAGTTCCCTTTATAGGTGCTGATCCTTTCACTACCTCACGAATACATACCTTGTCCTTCAAAATAGTAGATATGGCCGAGTGTGAGAAGCCTAGGTCTCGTGAAATGGTTGCTACTGTTATTCCATTTTCATACTGCATTATTATCTTCATTTTCGTCTCAAAAGTAATTGACTGTCTCCTTTTCTTCAGAGCACCACCAGCGCTCTCACTTATACGCTTGCCAGTCATTCTGAAGTGAATTAGATACGAAAATAATGTCAGTACACAGCGCTATCACTATCGACAACAACGACAACTAAACACCAACTAAGCGCTCTACGGCGTGGGTGCTTTAGCCACGAGGTGGCATGACCCAGCCCACAGCGCTCTCATATGGGACAGAAACGTTTCAGTCTAGAATTACCCGCGTCATTTGAAAAATTTTTGGTACCGACTGCGGCAGTCGTATGTGCGGGTGGTCGTACCGACTGAGGCAGGTCGTATGTGCGAGTGGTCATAGGTCGAGTATGTTGTAAGTCGAGGAGTAGCTGTAGTCTGAAGTGACTATGATCATTTTACCGTGCTTCAGTGGTGGTTCACTTGAATGGTTAAGCCCTAAGCATGATTCCCCCCCTCGAGAAAAAATTTATATAACGAGTTTCTAACACAACTACAGTATATGCGAGGTTATGTATCACCACCACTATCATTCTATTCCAGCTTGTTTAGTGGCTAACTATAATACCTTTCAGGCATATAACTCAATAAATGTCTGTCTGTCGGGTGTGGAGTGGTAGTGTTAACATCTTGGTTGGCTAGATTCATGTGAGCTGAGCTGTGTGGCTGGGTCATATGTGCCCATTTACCCTTTACAGTACTGTATACATACACTATGCACTTTACTTAATGATATTGATGAAGAGCAGCAATGTGTGCTTGTGTTATAGAAGTAATTTTAAGACAATGTTAATACAGGACTGTATATTCTTAGGGGATGGCTGATAATAAGATCAAAGGGTGCCTGCCTTCAGCATTCCTCTGCATCATGTCGCCCCATCAACAAGTTGCTGATAGCCAATCGTGGTGAGATTGCCTGCCGTGTGGTGCGTACTGCTCGTAGAATGGGTGTGCGCACAGTTGCCGTGTATTCTGATCCTGACAAAGAAGCCATGCATGTTGCTATGGTAAGTATTATTTAATAAATTTTATTTTCAATATCATATTTAGAATTTTTCTGAATTTCTGATTTGAGATGCTATACAGTGTAGTGCTATACTGTACTGTATGTCAATATTGAGGGCATCTCTAGACTTGATAGGTAAAAAATATGAGTCTTCTTGCTCTGACTTGGATATATAATGGAATTTCCAGGATCATTCCTTAATTTATGATACAGTATAAGAAGTTTACTATTTACACAGCCTCAGGAACCCTGGCCAATGCTTGCCATAGCAACACAGCCCTGTTAGGATGCTGTTTCTGCCTACCCCATAGCAATGGGGCTGACTCATGCCACCCCTCCTGTTGCTGGTATTGCCCTGACTACATAATAAATGTAAATAAGGTGACTGCAAACCAAAAGGGAATAAGAAACTTAGGGACAAAAATAAATGAAACTGGATCCTTGCTGGTTGCCAAACTAGAGCAATTTGGGAAAGAAATCCTCGCTAAGACTGAGGAAGTTGCTGATAGAATGGAGGGAGTAGTGAAGAAGAGTTATGGTCAGTCTTTAGCAAGGCCACAGGAGGTGGTGGAGAGTAATACAGGATCTAAACAGGTTCTACAGCAGCTAGGGACTCTGAAGAAGTGTGCTGAAGAGATGGCATCTAGCAGACCTACTGATAGGGGAGAGGAGGAACAACATAATAGTGTTTGGAGTCTCTGAGAGCCAGTTGGAGGAAGCTGAGAGTATGAAAACACACTACTGTATAAGTTGTACTTTGAGAATATTTGTACAGGGGCTCTGAATATGTCAGCCTTCCCTCAGGATGTGAAGAGGCGAGAACAAAAGCAGGAGGACAAGACTTTCCCCCTCGGGATCACACTAGTGAGTGAGAATAAGAAATGGGAAGTTATTTGGCAGGCAAAAAGCTTTGCAAGGAGCGATGCATTTCGGAATACTGTATATTCATACACCCAGATTGCTCGGTAATGCAGATGGAACAGCACAAAAAACTTCTCCAGGGCTTGAAGCAGTGGAGGGAGGAGTCGATAAGGAACAGGGATGGGCGTGCATGGTTTATATCCAGAAGGAGGGTAGTGGAAGTAAGAGTGCCAGCACAGAGCCAGGGGACAGCAGGACACCCCCCCCCCCACCACCACCCAGGAGGAGGCGAGCGCCATGTAAACAATGTCATCTCTGACTACACCCCACAAAATACAATGTACTGTATTTAGCAAATGCTGCAGCTACTGAGAATGGAAGGAGGCCGGAGTTACGCCCAAGATCAGAGACACCAAGAACAAATTCTGATTTGAAAGTCATGTAGAACAGTAATACTGACACATTCCTTGATAAGAGAGAGGAGTTTGAAACATTACTGAAGGTCCACCAACCAGATATAGTGGGTGTTGTAGAACTGTTATACAAGAACAGGAGAATCGACCCGGAGGAATGTGAGTTCTGTACAGACAAATTTGACTCATTTACGAACCTTTCTCAAGAAACATGCAAGAAGGGTGTGGTTATCTATGCGAGGCAAGACCTTAGAGCCAGCCAGGTGAGGGTACCGGGGGAGGATGTTTTTGAAGAACCATAGTGGTGTAAAATTCAATTAAAGGGGAGAGACTTACTTATTGTCAGGTGTATCTACAGATCCCCAAACTGTAGCTTACCAAACCAAAGGAACTTACGAACACAGTGATGCTCAACCCCAGTCACCCCCTTGTCACAGGGGATTTTAACTGTGGCAACATCGACTGGAGAAATGAGTTCACACCAAATGACTTAATAACCCGCTACTATTTTTGTAGAAACTCTGAGAGATAATTTTCTGTTCCAACATGTTCAAGACCCGACACATTACAGAGGGGAGCAAACACCCAAGCCACTGGACCACATCATAACAAACTAGGAGGGTATGGTGGCCAAACTGGAACACCTTGCCCCAGTTGGCACCAGCCACCATGTAATGTTTTCCTTCAGATTTACTGTTACTTAGTTCATGATAAACCAGACCAAGGTTCAAATATCATAAAGAAAATTACGAGAGGATGAGGGAGGAGATGGGGAGTATACACTGGCCTGACTTACTTAGATATAAGAACGCAGACACTATGCTGAATATCATAGCCAGTAAAGTGAACTGTTTGATCGATAAATATATACCCAAGACCAAACCCAGTGCCTCCAGCAATACAAGGAGACCTCTACACATGAACCATGCAAAGGCTGACAAAGTTAAGAAGAAAACGCAGAAATTCAAGGTGTGTGTTAAGACAACTGATGAGCAGTACTGGAGGATGTATGCCAGATCCAGGAACCAAGTAAAGTCAGAGTGTAGACGGGCTGAAAAAGAGTTCCAGCGGCAGATTGCAAGCGAGGTCAGGTCAAACCCAAAGGCGTTAATGCTATGCAAAGTTAAAATTAAAACCGTGATTAAGAGTTTGGGGACAGATGTGTTGACACAACAGTAAGCAAGCCCAAGATAAAAGAACTTTATGGGTGGCTATCGTTCACATTAAATGACTCAGGGAATTGCCTTAGTTTTAACCTCTCAAAAATATTATGCATTTATTGTTTGACCCCTACTTTTAGCATAAAAATTTTATCAGAATAATTCTAACTATACTTGAGTATTTACTGTAAATATGCTATCGTAGTATATCAGTTTTCTTCGACAATTTTATGTAATTGGTACTAGGAAATATGGAATGGAAGCATTGAAAAAAAAAAAGACACATAAGAAGAAAAATTCATGCCGGTCCAGGGAGGTTCAACCTGAGCTGCATTGAGTTGGGGTGGTTACTATTGCATTATTATTTACTGATACCGTATTGTATACAGGCAGATGAAGCTTACCACATTGGTGCTGCAGCATCCCAAGAATCTTATCTTCGTGGAGACAAAATCCTTGATGTTGTAAAACGAAGTGGAGCTCAAGCAGTTCACCCTGGCTATGGCTTCTTGTCAGAGAATGTGGAATTTGCAGAACAGTGTGCAAGGGAAGGTGTAGTTTTTGTTGGCCCACCTGCTGCTGCAATCAGGGACATGGGAATCAAGAGGTAAGACTCAAGATGATACAATACAGAACATGTATTCAATAATCTATGAAGATTAAATAATGCTGTATGTACATAATATGAAACTTAATGTTAAATATTTTTAAGTACAGGTATATGTGTTTTGCAGTACATCTAAGAAGATTATGTCAGAGGCATCAGTTCCAGTGATTGTTGGTTACCATGGTGAAGATCAGAATGATGTGCGGTTACGTCAAGAAGCTGAAAAAATTGGTTTTCCAGTAATGATAAAGGCAGTGCGAGGTGGTGGTGGCAAGGTATGTTAAAGAAGGCAGAGGTTACTTTGTAGGGTTTCACCAAGATCAGAGATGCCTATGTAAACAAACTGAACAATTTAGGTTATTTTTTTTTTTTTTTTTCCAGAGAAATTTATTACTTTATGGCAATGGTGTCAAACTCAAAACCTTTCGAGGGCCAATTCTTATTTTAGTTGCCCTCTTCAGGGCCAACACAAGCATTGGGGTTTACAGCTTCACACATTGCCTTACCTGGCTTACCAGGAATATCTCAATTGGGTTTGTCTGATCTTAAGTATGTAAAATTCACTTTACTTAATAAACATGATTAACGCTAATAATAGGATAGCAAAAGGCATATATATGCATTACTGCACTATTTATAATAATTTTCCCCTTTTCAGGAGTGTTATTACTAGCATGAACAATATAAATTCAATTACTGTATTACCACAATGATGTAAAGATGATTTAGGAATTTACTGACTCTTTCATATCTGCATTTTTTCCTTCATATCTAGTTCTATCATAATTTCACGGGCTGATAAATTTTACCGTCATCCCACGGGCCACACCTGACCATCCCAAGGGCCACATTTGGCTCATGAGCCATGAGTTTGACACCCCTGCTTTATGGTAATGTTTTATAAACCTGGCACCAAATGAACCAAAACAATATGGGGATTACAGTAAAGCCTCGAATAACGACTGTAATGTGTCCTCCAATATTGCAGTGTAAGGTGAATCATAGTATTGCAAATCATTAATTACCATTAAAATAAGCGATAATAATTATCTTTTCATATCTTTTGTGTGGCTTTTTACCCTCTTTTCCCACTAAAACAATACAATTAATGAAAAATGCAAACAATATTCTTTAATAATATTTCTGAATGCACCTTATACAATATAAATGAATACTAATATGGTCACACGAGGAGATGGGACGCCATTGTTTTCGTTTATGTTTACAGCTGGGAGTCTGGGACGATAGTTCTACATGAGAAAATAAAGAAAATAAGACCCTGGCTGTAGCTGTAGTAAAATTAATGTAAAAAATGAATATACAGTGTATGTTTTAAGGAATGCAATTTATTGTTAATACTGTAAATGAAACAATAGAAGTAGCTAACCACTAATGGTAAAGAAAAAAGTTAGATGGATTGGGAACGCCAACGTATACGTGAGCATTTAAGGATACCGCGTCATTTATCTTTTTAAGAATATGTACAAAAGATTCATTATTGTTTATTACTGAATATGTATTTTATTGAATTAATCTTTATATCGCGAAATGAACAATACAATTCATTCATAATACGTAGAATATTAAAATGCACAAGAGGATAAGAGACTGCATTGTTGTCAGTGTTTACACCCATAATGCCAGTTATCCACCTGAAACTGGAGAAAATAAGACCCTGGTTGTTATTGTAGTAAAATTAATGTAAAAAATTGTTTAATTAATGTTATTTAATGTACAGTAGAAGTAACCACTGATATTAAAGAAAAAGTGAGACTGATAGTGGAACGCCAATGTATACATGGGCACTCAAGGAAACATAGTCATTTATCTTAAGAATATGTACAAAAGATTCATTATTGTTTATTACTGAATATGTATTTCATTGAATTAATGTTTATATATGTGAAATGAACAATCCAATTCATTTATAATACGTAGAATATTAACACACACAAGAGGAGACAAGACGGCATTGTTTTCATGAGTGATGATGGTTCTACATAAGAAACTGAAGAAAATAAGACCCTGGTTGTAGCTGCAGTGAACTTAATGTAAAAAAATTGAATACCTGTATGTATGTTTTAAGTTATGTTATTTAATGTTAATAAATGGAACACTAGAAGTAGCTAACCACTAATGGTAAAGAAATAAAGCGAGACGATTGGTAACGCCAACGTATGTACAGTAAGTGCGTACATGTGAAAACATATCGTCATTTCTCTACATATGAATATGAAAGCAACACTTGTTTACTGTTCATATATGTTTTAAATAAAATTTACAAATTTAAACAAAAAATTCTACTCACTAATGGTGGTAAAGTCTAAAACATAAGAACAGCCAATGAATATTGTGCGAATTTTTTACTCAGAATGAAGTCATCAGGTTCAACTCTGGCTGAAGCTGTAGGTTCAACTCTGGCTGAAGCTGTAGGTTCAACTCTGGCTGAAGCTGTAGGTTCAACTCTGGCTGAAGCTGTAGCTTTACATAAAGCTGTTGCTGAAACCTACTGAACCTGAAGTTGTTGTTGAAGCTTCTTATGATGCTGAATTTGATGGTGTAGCTGAAGTTGATGGTTTAGGCCTTCGAATAATCAAGCTGTCGAAAGAACCCTGCACAGCTGCTTTCTTTTCTCATTATAAAGTGGTCCTTCAGTTAACGAACACAATTCGTTCTACAGAGTCGTTCGTTAACCGAATCCATTGTTTCAATGGGATATTGGGTAATTGGTTCCAGCTCACTGAAAAGTACAGGTACATACAAAGTAAAAAAAAATTGCAGTAAAGTACACTTACTTTCAGGTGTGTATGTAGAAGGTTCCTGGTTGATGATGATGATGATGGGAATTAGAAGTGGGGTGGAGGAGAAGGGAGAAGAGAAGGAAGTGGGGTTGGAGGAGAAATCACCTTTCAGGGGACCCATGCTTGATGCAGTAATTTCACCAATAAAATTTTAAGTTCACTAGGTGTAATTCAAGATTATTTTATTTAAATCAACACTGCACTGCTCTATATGTTAACTAAATTTCAGAATGACCAATAATTTTAATGTAAAAATGCAAAAATATTCAAGACACCAACAAAATCGATGTTCACTCCACTGTAAACAAAGCCAAACTGACGCCTGGTGGGTGAGTCAAGCGGCTGATGGGCACACAAAAAACTAGTTCCCTGTACTGCATATTTTATCAATATGTTCACTAAATTTAAAATGACCAATAATTTTAATATAAAAAATGCAAAAATATTAAAGAGCACAACTTTCTTGATATTTACTCCACTGGAAACGAATGTAAACATAGAACAAATTACTGAATTGGCAGACTAGCCCATCAGCTGATCAGCTGATGCTCACAACAAAACGTGTTTGTCGTATGGATTTCGTTAATCGAAGTTTTGTTTGTTAACCGATTTGAAGATCCTTATGGGAGGTAATTCGTTAATTGAACCGTTCGTTAACCAAGAGACCACTGTGTATCTTTCTGTAGAGGTCATTTGTGTTTATTTAAATTTTAATGCTTTGTTCTGTTAATGGATCCACTTCAGAAAATATGTTCATTGCTTGCTCCATATAATATCCACAGACCTCTCACCTTTTTCACATCGTTTTAACACATCTAGTTCTTGGCTAAGCTTATACACTTTTTATTAGCTTTTGAAACTACACTACCATCACTTGTTCTCTTGCTCATGTTGAATAGGGATGTAAAAATGCTGCAAGAAACCTGAGAAAGTTTTTCTCCTTTTCCTGTTCAGATGTGCGAAAACAAAGGGTCCGCCAGCTGCGATCATTTATACTACCATAGTGATGCTGGCGTTACCACTAACAAGTCCGGCAGCCTCTGTGCGCGAGGCGTTTTTTTTTCTTTTTAATATCAGGATTTAGTTATTATTTATGCGAAAATGTAATATATATTTTTTTAATTTTGTCGTAAATACAAAGAAAATAATGGCGTAAATTGAATTGGGTCCTAAATTAACCAGGGTCTTAGATATGAATCTTCGTTGGTTGAACCGCCATTATCGGAGGCTTTACTGTACAGTATTGTGAAATGCATACTGTAGGTATAAAGGGGTAGGGGAATTTCTGTCGAGTTCAGCCAGCCAGCCACCCAACTCTCTTACACACAATACCCTTTCCACTTCAGTTTTTTCATATTTTGTACAGACGTTCAATTGATTACAACTGGGTTCCATTCTGGCCGCTATCCATAAGTCTGAAGTGACCCTTCCATAGATAATCGTTGAACTCACACAGTACCCATAATGTACGAGTATGTACAATTACTGGTATACAGGTATGAGACCATTTTTTAGGCATGCTTGGTACCTATGGGATGCCAGATAGGGTTTATTTTTCATGAATTTGGAGTGCCAGGCCTAAAATGTACAAAATGTACAGTAAACCCTGTATGGCTGTGAAAACTCTTTTCAGATCACTATATTCACCCCTAAAAGTAGTTTTAACTGTACACTGTAACATTAAAACTTAAAATTGTAGGCATATAAACATCTTAACAAAAGCATATAAATAGCATTTATGAAAACATAAAGAGAGCTAAACTGATACAAGTTAGTGTACAAACTGTGTCACAGTTGCCCCCGGTGCTCATTTAGCAATGCAGTAGCACCACGGACTCTTCACTTGCCACACAGTTTCACGCTGGAAGCCCTTAGTTGTAAGAATTATTTATTTTATTTGTTTTTACACTCTTTTTATGTAGAATTTTGTGTGTATGTAATCGAGGGAAAAAATAAAAGAAAATTTTGTATAAAGCATCTACTTAAAATTGCGAGTGGAAAATACTTTACAGTCGGCCCTTGACATACGCGGGGGTTATGTAACAGAGATACCCGTGGATGTTAAAAATCCGCGTATATGTGCTGCTCCCCCAAAAAAAACCTGGTCCTCCCATGTCCTTATTTACCGTATATACCTGTGTGTTGTTCAAGTTTTTAAGACCAAATTATTTGGCAAAAAATTGGGGGTCGACCTCTAAACGGGTAATAGTTTCGTTAGGTTGAAAAATATTTACCAGTAACTACCAGTAGACAATGGAAACGATGCACCAACGCACCACCAGCTGTGAGTGTCGGTACAGTTGCCAGGGCAGATCTCTTGCGTCATCATAGCAAGCCCAAAGTAGCCAAATCCATGGTATGGTAGCAGAGAACGATGTAAAACAAAGTATTCATTTATTAAAGTTTATTTATAGATACTGTACATAAATTTTTGTTCATTACATTTGAAACATCAATCTTTGTTAATTAAATTT